TAGTGCATAGTACAAGAACACGGATGTGCAAGTGCAACGACGTGCATATGAATGTAAAAAATACCCGATGTTCAGTGTGCTGTGGCAACTGGCAAGAAAAATACCAGCATTGCTATGATTGTTATGAATATTCAGTTGTGGATTATAATATTGGGATTGTGGATTGTTTGCTGCTGTCCCGTTGTCAAACACGATATAATCGAAGAGGAAGCGGCCGGCGCGTTACTCTTCTCTTGGCGTGACTCTTCTAGCACATCCCGAAGATTATTCTACGAATAACAAGAAGCGCTCTTAGCCGTTAGTGATTTCGTGTGCAGAAAAGCTGAGTATTATCGATGCAATATATTATCGAAGCTGAGTATTATCCTGATTAGTGAGTATTACTAAATTTTTGTAGTACAGTAAACAGTTCGTACGTTGTCTGAAAAACACAGCCGTACTTTGCGATTGCTTTATTCGGCTGGTTAAATAGTTCTTCTGAAATATTTATTATTGATTTTTTGTGTATTTCGTAGGACTACCCTAGTGGCCTTGTAGCCTGGAGCCTGGCCGCCAATTATATCTGATTTCGATATTCGCATTGAACAAATATTCAGATTGCATCTTATTTCGATGTCCACCGACCGCCTGACTGCAGCAGCATGAACCCCCGTCGTCCGCCACACCCGGCATTCGCTCCCTGCGATGAAGCCAGCAGCTCAGAGTCCAGAGCGAGTAGAAAATATCCGACGAAAAAAGGAACTCACCCCGAAAAACGTGCTGGAGTTTCGACAGCGCTATCTGTTGCCTCATCAGCCAGGAAGGTAGAGGCGTTAAATAACAGAGTAACGAGAAGTGGGATTCCGAAACGAGCTCAGATAGACTATGAGTGCGCGCCCTGCAATTTCACCACACAGGAAAAGGCGGGTTTCTTGGAACATATCCACAGTCCCGCCCACCGGGAGACGGTCGCCGGAAAGATGATACAGTGCGACGCGTGCCGCTTTCGCTCGCGGGATATGCAAAAGATGACAGAGCATCTGCAGCGGCATGGCTGTCACGGACACAAATCCATCCCATCCAGTCTCCTGACCTGCGTGTTGTTCAGACTGGCTATGTCGAAATAATTGTAAATATAAAGTATCAAAAATTTGTTAGCTGAAATACTGCTGAAACAGGCGCTGGGTGTCCTTATGTGGCATTATATAAATAAATGATCACAGAACAGATCTCAGACACACTCCGAAAAATTTAATGTCATATCAAAGTTGAACTTAAGCATGAGTTAAAGTTACGTCCTTTATGACTGTTTCCGTTGACCAGATTATTCGTAGTTTCCATTCTAAATGTCGAAATTGCATGCCAGCGGCTTTTACGTTCGTGCTCCAGTTTTTGTCGATAGTACTAGTACTGAAACCCTGGATTCTTGTCAACAGCATCGATTTCCGTTCTGGAAAGTACCGTCGGCCGAACTGAACGAAGGAATTTTGTAGTGCATATTTTGTATACGTAGCATGAGCAGCCAAAAACTGTTCTAAATTATGCACAAACGAGTAGATATTCAATATAAATTGTGCGGTAATGGGCAAGCGTTATAGGCAGGGACACTTGACTCATCATTGAAAAGATTGTATGTTCCCCACTGCCCTCACCGATGATGTAGGATACGTGGCGAGGTGTACGCTTCATCCTCTAGACATCTTCCAAGTTTTCGTTTTTTGGTAAGAACGTTCGTAAATCAAATGTCGTCGGCGTTTCGACATTGGCCGCATAATAACGGTTCTAGTCCGGTTGTGTAAGTTAAAGCAGAGTGGCATAATAGAAAACGGAGCTGTACATAGGTTGCCTTCCGAACAGCTGCCTGGCAGCTGTTGTAGAAAACGATCATTCGTCAGAGCGACATTTTGTAACGGAGCTACTTCAAGCGTGCAGAAATACGTTATGCTTGTACTGCAAACATTCGTGTGCTGCACGCAGCGCACAACAGTTCCATGTGACCTGGGTATCGGCCATGATTAGAAGCGACCGAAGGAGGACTGTGGACATAGTGCTTCAGGATGTTCAATAGAATCACGCTTCCTGAAGGTTCATCCACTTGCGCCACTTCTGAGAAATCCGTTGCCGAATGCTACGGCGTACACAGTACACTCTGTTAACGAGAGCAAAAAAACCTTGTTGTCGACCAAATCATACCTTAACATTCCGAGAAAAAATACAGCATTCCTTGCCATCGTGAATTTCACTGCTAATTTTCTGGCCCACATCTCTTGGGATCGATGCTCATGTGTCTTGGGTCACCACATGCTTCAGATTTTGAATGCCGGAAGGTTGACCAGTGAACTTCCGTAGTTTTTGGTTTTTTCTGAAATCCACTGCGCCTCTGGGAGGTTGTGGTGTTTAAGCATACGTTCTTCGTGCAAAGGCAATGAATTATGGACGGCATTGTTTCTTGGCCGCCTTCCCCTGATTCGCCAGTGACTGCGAAGACGGGCGCTTGTTAGCCCTGCCCTATTTTAACGGAGTTGCATGCACCGTACAGAAATAACGTAGTCACTGAAAGGGCTGGGCTAGGCTCGCACAGACACTCCCTCCGCTACGAAGCGAGGTCCCTCGAGCTGATAGAGCCCAAATCCCGTACTGATAGAATCGGCTCATACTCATATCGAGTCGGCTGTACGTACAACGGTTAAGTCGTACGTTCGGCAAATCGGCTTAATAATAGTTTATTTTTCGCTTAAATCGTTTTAATTAAGTAATCGAATAGCTTAATAGAATTAGTAGGAGGATCCGTAGATAGTAACCACGATCTGCTACCATCAAAGGGCTGGGCTAGGCTCGCACAGACACTCGCAAAAAATCTGCCGATTGAGGGAATCGAACCCACAACCTCCATACTCTAAGGCCGAGAGAGGCACCACTAGGCTATCGGCAAAGCATACAAATCTAATGAAATATTCTATCGAACGATCCTATAGAGAGCTGATGCCGCTCTGACATCACGCTAGAATTGCAAAGTTCTTATGCGAAGCCAAAGAATGCATCTGTTCTAAACAAATAAAAACAGACATACCTCTGCTGACGGTTGCGTCTGAATACGCAGTGATATAAAACCCCTAATGCACTACGTCTACCACCACAACATTCACTAAGGGAAAAAGCTTAACTTTTATTTTCACCATGACAGCTGTACTCCCGACAACTGTGCCGCCTTCCCACAGTTGCATCAACTTATATACCACATCAATATGCTCATATTCGCATACAGCCACAAAGCTAGAAAAACACATGCACCAATCCCATCACTACATTTCACATTAACCACATCTGCAGGCCACATTCATCCTGCCTCCTCATTATTCCCACTCGACCAGCAGTCAGATCTTACACAGCAGATAAGGAATAATCCGATGAAGACATAAACGTCTTCACACACTTATGGTCATAATAATGGTCAAAGCTATGCGCAGGAGTTTTATAATTAGAGGAAACTTTAGTACGTCAAAATTTTTTATTTAGAAAAGTGATAATAAACATAAGAATGATAAGATATATCAAGTAAAACCGCTTTCTCATGGATAAAAACAAAAAAGGGATAAAAAATGTTAAAATTCTTGCGAAAAGCTAAAAGGGGCAAATTATTGAGTAAATCAAATGACCAATCTGAGAAAAACTTAAAAGAGTGAAATATCGTTACCGCTCAGAGTTTGTGCCGCAACGATGTCATTTTATATATATATATATATATATATATATTTTATATATTATATATATATATATATATATATATATATTTATATATATATAGTACAACTTCATCTAGCGGCTACAGTACGGCTCCTGTGCCACCTCTGTTACAACGGCGAATCTTTGGTTTGGACTTACTGCAGCGAGTGCGATTGTACCACTGTATGCGCACTGTGCTGAGTGTGTCGACATCGGAGATTTCGTCAGAAGCGTCATGAGCTGCGAAAGGATAGTTTCGGAGGTCAGTATTGGTGTCGCGATACTAGAAAAGGGCGACGTCGCGGCTCCATCGCCACCCCGGTTCAGGTCGTCATCCTCATCGTCGCCCTGGGCCCAGTCGAGAACGCCATTGAGGCCATTGATCTATCTGTACTGAAAGTATATACTTTATTTCCAAAACAGCGATAAGAATATCAAGAATCAGTTTCGGTTGAATAACGGTTGAATATCAAGAATCTGTACTTACTTCTATATAAAGAATGCACGAGCCGAAAATTTAAAATTCTCATTACCACTGCCCTACTCAAGGGGCTTCACTGTATTGTATACAGCATTGTATACAGTGTATAGCAGTCTGTATCGTATGAAATACAATACAGCCCCTAGAGAACCGCATTGGTTAAACTTAGAAAAAATACTTAATGCATTCGCATAATTATGTATGTAGTAGAAAAATCCCGATTTGGCATGCCTGCTACCATTGCAGCTAATTTTTGCCCGTGCCAATATTAGCATCAGGTGCGATGGGAGAACCCCCCGGCCCCCAGGGGCCAAATAAATTTCAGGGAAGGTAAAAAAAAACTATACCATGCAAGCAATGCTATCAACTCTCGTACTGTTCGCACCTACGTATCAACGGTCACCGGTTGCTATGTAACGTACGATGCGCAGTATAGCACCGCAGTACGAAACTCCTGCGCATAGCCACTTCGCATAATAATACTCGTACTAATGAGCACGCAGACCATGCACATTGGCAATTAATCAAACCAGGATAGCCATCGTCCACTTGTCAACACCACGGTCGTAACAGCAGACATCTTAGCTTTTTTGATTCATCCCAATTCCAAGAATGTCATACAGCAGTTTTTCACACAGTACTAGTATTGTGCCGATTTTGTACGTGTGCAGAAAAGCTGATGAATATTGTCAGATGTTTCCTACGATCTACGAGTACGTGTATTTTATAAGTATTTTCGACTTACGTCATTTTTGTATTTCGCCTGGGTTTAGACCCACAGCACAACCGTAGCTCGCATTCAGTGCCTGTAACTTCACTGAACTGTCAACAAACAAAAGTTTTCTGCAGATCCTTATATCCTGCTCCTGCATGAACCTTGGATTGGGCTGACCAAATTATCCTGAATGTATCCCAGTCAAGTGCTCCTAACCACAAATTACCATATAAAGGTGCGGTATTTCTACGGTAGGCTCTCGAGTAGCTGCCTTCATGTCATAATAACTGCTTATCAAATGAAGTGCGTTGAAACACGAATTCGTAAAAAGCCAGAGCAATAGTTATCTACTTTTTGGGATAATTGATTGACCAAACATTGTCATCAAGGTGTTTTAAAATCAGGATTGATGCTTGCATAACTGGCATACTGGTACAATTCTGGTTGCTCTCCTGGCAAGATCCAGTTAAACAGTAATTACTGTTTTTCCTTGGCTCAGATTTCAGTGCAGGGACACCGAAGGAATGGCCGATCCTGGTGATGTGCCAGCAACAAATACCACGTGCCCGTTACTGCCGCAAATCAAGGAGGCCATCCGGGTTGCGAAACGGCTTCACCGGCGGCCATCGCTGGACTGCCTGTGGTTGATGCTGCGCCATCACGTTGACCACATCCAGACTGTTCGGTCCCAGCTGGAGACGGCAGTGCACCACGGACTGCTTCGCGTCGTTCACATGAAGGGAGTGCCGTGCTACAGCGATCCCGATAGCCTCAAGAGTCGCCGCACCTTCACCGTCAGTAATGTCAAGAATTTCCGGCGTGCGGTGTCGACAGGAGTGAAGGAGATGGGCGATCCGGAGGGCGCTACCGCGGACTCTATCATCCAGTATATCGTGACTACTTTTGAGTAAGTTGCACTTGGGTAACCGTAGCGGTCATATCGCGTCCTTAACGCTGGGTGGTCATAAATTACTTTTGTGATAGGGTCGAGCTGGCCACATTTCCAGAAATGCTGCAACCTATCCTGGCCGAGCTCACTCGGGAGGGCCTGCTTACGGAGCTGACGCCGGGTCGGTACCAGTATTCCGACCTGAAGAAGAGTAGTTACGGGGTTCTTCGACGCAAGAACGTGAAAACGGTCAACGATCCACACGCAATTGGATCTCCGAAGTGTGTCACAGCAGTCCACCCGCCGTCAGACGACAGCAGCATAATAAAGCGCTTCAAACGACAACGTCAACGTCCGGCTTTCTTGCGATTAGGTGAAACCAGTAGTTCTGAGCCGGAAACCAGGGAAGCGTGCCCCGCGGGCCAGCAAAAACGCGGTCACCCCTGGAAACATAATAAATCGTCGACGGTGTTAGCTGCTGCAACTAGCAACGTCCAATCGCCGAAGAACACAGTAACGACACGCCGGATTTTTAAGCGAATCCAGAAAAACTACGAGTGTTCGCCCTGCGGTTTCACCACACGCGGAAAGACACTTTTGCTGAAGCACGTCCAGAACCCCGCCCACGCGAAGAAAGTCCAAGGAAAAATGGTACAGTGCGATGTGTGTTGCTTTCGCTCGCGGAATGCGGAGAAGATGACGGAGCATCTGCAGCGTCATGGCTGTCATGAGGACAAATCCATCCCTTCCTGTCTCCGGTCATCGGCCGTTTTGGAGGTGGATCCGTCGATTTAAGTAACCTTTTCGAATCTTCAATCATCGTTTTTTTCTACTGTTAATTCTACGAACGTATGTTTTTTTTTGCGAATTGTTCAAATACCGGTAGTAAGCACATTGAATAAGACAATAGTATTTCATTAGGGAAAAGTTGAGTTGCTACCGTAGATGTGCAGAAACAAAGCCAATGTTGGTCAATCAGCTGAGTCAGGCTCAGTCAGCAGATAGAGAAGAAAAAGCAGACAACCAAACCTGTACATAATAATGAAGGTACTTATAATACAAAACATGTGGCTACACCATGTCATAATAACATGCACGCAGAAAATCAGAAGCTCCTTTTGAACGCACGAAAGCGGAAGTTCATGGACATGTACTGTACACATTTACCCTGTTACAGCCCTTAAAGATGCCGATATTATTTTCGCAAAATTACGAGCACATGCATCTGTATTTTTATAGAAAACAATCGTTTTCTACTTTCTAGTCAGCTAAACGAAAAACAGCTCTGCCGGTGAATAGTCAAATTACCATACCGGGGAGACTCAGGATATCGTTGGTTTATGCACAGTGAAGAAAATATCAGTAGAGGGCGCTTTGCTCGGAGTGCTTCAGTTAAACATCTGTGAGGCGATGGCTCCCCTGCGTCCACCTTCGTGACGCTAGTGGTGTGCCTCGTTGCACTACTCCGTGGGGAACTGCCGTCTGTGACGCAGCGCTTCTCTGATTGGTCGGCTACTGCCGTTCATTGTGTTCACTGCTGCGCAGTGTATTAGTGTTGCCGAGAGCAGATGGAATTTGGCTCTCTGAGTTGGTTGAACGTCAGTGTGTTTTGGTTGACGATCGAAGTCACTAATAAAAGTGTATTACGTTAGCTGGATATCGTGCGTTGTGCATTTATTCCCATAAACGCTACGTTCTACACTACACGGAGTCCTGTCAGTCTGGCTTCCGTCCTGGACTCTTATCCAGTCCACGGTTATACATCGTTTGATATGGCTTATAAGCAGGGCGCAATCCGGGGGAAACCGAGAAACGGCTGAAAAAGGCGCCGATGGGGGAATCGAACCCCGGCTACGTCGTTAGATCCGCGTAGGCAGTACCACTGCACCACGGCGCAATACGTTGAAATCCTTTGAAAGACTTTATCGCTGTACGTGAGCCGCTTCTCCGCTCACACCCCCTTTGCAGCTTTCGCTACGTCCTCGTAGCGAGACTAAGCGATCCTTTAAGCGGCGGCTCCGGCTCACCGCATCCTCTATTCATTTTATCTTTTTATTCGTTTTTGCTCTGTTCCTCCCGTTCGAGGTTAGCACACTGGTCTCATAGGCGAAGTGGACGTACCGAACCACGATCTGCTACCATATAAGCAGGGCGCAATCCGGGGGAAACCGAGAAACGGCTGAAAAAGGCGCCGATGGGGGAATCGAACCCCGGCTACGTCGTTAGATCCGCGTAGGCAGTACCACTGCACCACGGCGCAATACGTTGAAATCCTTTGAAAGACTTTATCGCTGTACGTGAGCCGCTTCTCCGCTCACAGGCTCTTTGAAAAGGACTTTTAAAATTACAAAAGTCATAAAGCATTAGGACGAGTGCTGTGTTTCGTAAGTGTTTCTTTATTCTTTATTTACTGCGCATGTTCTATTTCTCGATGCGGTCTCTGCATATTGTATAATTTACACGTGAACCTTGACTTCAGCATATGTTTTTATTCAGGGTGTCTGGGGCGAAGGTGTCCCGAACATATCCCAGCCTGTCTATGACTCAACTCTCGGTGTAAAACATCGACAGTATTTACTTGAGCAATTAACTTTTTCGGCATTAAAAAACCGAAGTAGTATTTACATAATATATTATGGTTGCATAATAATAATAATTATATTTCTGTAGAATTACCATGTGCGCAGGCTTTGGTAAAATAATATTTATTATTTTCCCTGGTTCAGGATTAAGTGCTGCGACTCCGGATAAATGGCGGATCCTGGTAGTGTCGATGCCATAACTATCCCATGCCCGTTGCTGCCGCAAATTAAGGATGCCATCAAGTGTGCGAAGAAGAGAAAGCTGCGACCATCTTTCTGCCGTATAGTACAATGGTTGAGGGTGCACCAGCATTTGAAAAACAGCCAGACCGTGCGGTCTCAGCTGGAGACGGCTGTTCAACAGGGGCTGCTTTTCGTCGTATACAGCCAAGGACTTCCGTGTTACAAGGACCCCGATAGCCTCAAGAGTATCCGCACCTACGCTGTCAAGACTGTCAAAAATTTCCGCCGAGCGGTCGTGATGTCGGTGAAGGAGATCGGCGATCCGGACGGCACCACCGCCGAAGTCATCGTTCAATACATCCGCGCGACCTTTAAGTAAGCACATGATAACAAACACGAAATGTTGAAAGTTGCAGATACGAGTACAGTGTTTCGCTTGTATACTGAAAGATGCAAGATATCTTTTCGGATCGAGATCCATAGAGAATCGAAACAATTTCACATAGAACAAAATAAATAAGGGTACTCCAGAAAAATACTCAGACACCAGAACTATACCCAGTAGAAGCTGCCATGCAATTAGCGTTCCAAAACATTTAAAAATTCATGAGGAAGATGATATTTTATCCATGAGATACGTATCTGTCCAAGGCACTTTATCCAGTGCCAGTGGTATCGTATTCTTTTCTGGGATTTCAGGGTGGACTTCGCCACTCTTCCAGAGATGTTGCAGCCGGTCCTAGCCGAGCTGGTTCACGAAAGTTTGCTGGTGGAGCAGTCATCTGGGCGCTACAAATATCCCGGTTATTCCAGAACTAACGCTAAGGTTCTCAGGCGCGCGAAAATGGTTATCGATCCCATCACGAAAATCCCAAGACCCCCGAAGCCCGGTAGAACAGCCCGACTGCTGCCGGACAGCAGCAGCATCAACAACCGTGCCAAGCGACAGCGCTGTCGTCCGAAGCGATGGAGTTCCGCCATCAGCTCCGAGTCCGACACCACTGAAACTGTTCCACCGGAAAAGAAAAAACACAGCCCCCTCGGCAAACGCACCGAAACGGGGACGGCGTCGACAATCACTATTCGAAGTAGTACCGGAACACACGGTGGCCGAGTAACGAGAAGTCAGATTTCGAAACTAAATCAGAACGACTACGAGTGTGCCGCCTGCAACTTCAACACACGGACAAAGGCGGATTTCTTGCAACACACTGAAAGTCCCGCCCACGGGGAAAAGGTCAGCGGGAAAATGGTGCAGTGCAACGTGTGCCACTTCTGTTCACGGAAGGTGGACAAGATGACGGAGCATCTGCAGCGTCATGGTTGCCATGAGGGCAAATCGATACCATGCGGTCTTCTGGCGTCCACCGTGGCTGGACTGCCTGCATCGAAATAGTTTTCACAAGTTTTCACCGAAAAAGGTATTAGGCTATCATTGTTCATTGCGGCATTCATAATTTGTTCGCTAGTTGTTGTAATAGTCAATAGACAGTAAATGTTATAAGCCGCGACTCTGTTTTCGCAGCTTGGTTCTCTCGGACCCAGTATCCGTACCCATTGGGTAGACTCCTTTAATAAGTATCTTATTTCGGATACAAACTAAGTACCATTCACAAAATTTGTAACAGAAACACTTCCTTTATGCTATTACCATACCGGTACTTTTCGATCACAATTTTTTTAACTGTCGGCACTGGCAATTATTTTCCGCATACGAAAGTAATAGCGCAAGCAATATATTATACGACAATCACTTCTCCAGAGCTACTTTAAAAGAGGAAAGCATTCGAATCATCAAGCGTACCCCATCGGTACAAGAACGATTAAGAATCTGCATGCCCAACTTCCGGAAAATCTGCACAGCCACGCTGCGCTTATGCAAGATGGTGTCATAAGGTAGCTAGAACAGGTAGTCAGAAGACCGTAAAAGATTACACAGACATTTGCTTTAACACTGTTACATGCATTTCCTGGCAGGGATGCTTCAAACGTTCTGTGGTGGATAAACCGGATAAAAACCTTTTCTTGGTTCATGAATTGGATAAAAAGCTTTCCCTGGTTCATGAACCGCATAAAATGCTTTCCCTGGTTCCCGAACCGGATGAAAAGCTTTCTCTGCTGCGTGAGCCGGATAAAACTGAACAGTGTGGTAGCTGGACGTGGGAGCCTCTCCGGTCCCTTGCGGCGAGACCAGAGGCGTCATCACCACATTCAGGGTGGGGCGGGCATGCAAGGCGGGACAGCGGGCCACCACTACGATCACACCGATACAGATGGCCAACACCAGCAGATGCAAGACCAACACGGCCGCCGCCAACGGCCAGATGCTCACCCAGATGGTCACGATAATGGCGAAGATGAGCAAACCGAAGGCACACAGCAGCGACAAGGTACTGAGCACCAGGGCGGCGATCAGCAGGCAGCGGGCGTTGTCCTGGTTGGTCTGCGTGGTTTTCCCGGCGGCGATCGTTATCGCGCCGGTGACGATGTAGAAGATTCCGGAGATGACGCCGGAAAATCCAAATATGGGGATGAATAAAACGAAGACTGTAAATACGTCTGCTTAATGCACAGTTCCAACGTAAAATTCGATTTGGTTGGATTACAAAACAAGTTCTAAATAACAAAATAATCAATGCAATGCGCCACTTACAAACGGTATCCGGGATAAGCAGCAGTAGGCCACAGACACACAGGGCAGCGCCGAGCCCAATCATATGCCTTGTCCCCGTTTTCGCCCCATTACCCGCCATTATCCTGACGTGTTACCAAACGTAATCACATCGTCCAGCTTAAAACTCCACGATGGTGAAAACGCTACTCGAATTGGATCGAAATGCAGCTCAGTTTGTTTTTTTAACGACTGGTTCTTCGTTTGTAGGGCATAAAAGCGTCACCGCAGATATGCTTACTGTACGGTTATTCTTGACATGTGGCGTTGTTCTTCGTACTGAAAGCGTAGACACTGGTAGCGCCTGTGTGGTGTTTTTGTATGCTAGCAAGGCTAATGTCTGTGCTGAACTGCGTGGAGATCGGCACCCGGGAAAAATCAATACGAGTCATTAATACACAGGGTTCAGTTTAGAGAGAAGACAGAAGGTTCGAGTGACTAATCGTACTCCGTTAGTATGCGCCAGTGCGCATTTATATCCTGATCAAGAGACGTCAAGCGGCGGCATGCGGCTACGAGCGGCAGACAGTAGAAGGAGCAGTTGTTCGGTGTATGTGGTAATAGTTTTGGTGTATGTATGCGCGTGGTGCGAGCGTTAACAACACCGAACGTGTAAACGCTGCAGGGAACAAACAATCTCCCTGCTAGACGAGTAGTGCTTTCATCGGTAGGTACAGTGGTCGTACGTACCATACGTACCTCCGGTCACAGTTTAATTATGATGCCATTCTAACGCGCAGTCCCGACCGGAAGCCGGAATTTGATTAAATGCGCTTCCCTCAGCCTACACCGACAACCGCCTTGTCGACGAGACGATTAAAATCTCAGGCGGTCTGCCTCTTGGAGCTGATATACTCATATACTGCACCAAATGTCATAAATACAAGTTCCGATATTCACACTCCTGCTACTTGGTTTAGTTTATTTCCGAGCAGACACACCCTGAGGCACTCAATAGTCTGGTCAATGTCAAACTTTAAACAATAAAACAGCAAAAAAAATTTAAAAATATTTTTGAGACTCAGTAAAGACAATTCCACTCAGTAAAGACGACTCAGTAAAGACAATTCCACTTCAACAGAACCACAGCCAAACAGATTATCTCCATCGTTCATAATTTTATTAAATCGAATTTTAAGCCTCATCGCTAGGGTCGTCTCCCCGATGTTCCGCCGCGCGGTAGCATCGATCCCCTCTGTACGGCGGAGTCCATATTGCGTACTGGTGTCCTTGAAGGAAACCAAGTCGCACACGTATGACGACACTGCAAAATTCTCCCGGTTGCGGATCTTGAACAGCCAGGCTGCTTCCTTCTGGCGCCATCGATCTTTTGCTGGTGTAATCCCCAGCTTCCGGTACAGTTCCGGTGTTACCCGTATCCCGTATTCGGTGATGGTTCGCAGGGCTGCATCCTAACGTTCACTCAACTTTCTTCCGCTCCCCCGGAGACGCCGTTGACCAGGCCAGTCCACAGTAATCTATGTATCCTGGACAAAGGCGTGATAAAGGATGACTTGCTGGGAAATGGTGAGTCCGGTTTTTGTTCGTCTCATCTTTTGGATGCCGTAGTTGATGTTCAGTTTACTTTCTGCAGCTGAATGTTCCCCTTGATTGTCAGTAACTCGCCGTTTATAGGTAACGGTGGGCTTACTTCCGCTTTGCTCTTGTTGCTTCCACATAGGAACATTGCTACACATTTTCAGTAAGGTCTAGCTTTGGTTGAATCATAGATGCTGATCAGTGATAGCGCTTCCCCAATCAAGTATTTTAAAAAAGCCCCCTCCGTTGCCAGACCGGCCGTTACAACGAAGCTGAATCAGACAGGCGTGCAGTAAGGTTGAAACATCGCATAAGTTATGGCAGTACACACTTCTAGTTTTGTGACGTCAGACCTGAATATCCCATAAGTGACGTTAACCTATATAAGACTCATTAAGCATTAACGGAGACTAACCACTGAAGGAGACCTGTTTCGGGCTATTTCGAGTGGATCGTTGGAGTGGATAATTCGAGCCGTTTCCACTAATCTCCGGTATTTCCAAAATCCACGCATGCCTGACGCCGCGGAAGTTTTTATTGCAGTAACAAACAACAACAACAACCGTACCAAAAAAAGAATACGCCTACCGGTAACTAAAATGTTCAAAGCGATTTAGTCATGGGTCATGGTGTCAGAGAGACATTCTTTCTCTAAAAGTATAGAATCGTTCGATAAAAATTTCAATACATTTTGTACGATATTTCGATAACAGACAGTAGTGGCGCCTATTTCGGCCTTAGAGAAAAGACGTCGTGCGCTCGATTCCCTCCATCGGTAGATTTATTCAGAGTTTCTATGCGAGCCGAGTCCAGCCCTTGCAAACTGCAATGGTATTTAAAAAGCCAGAATTCTTGGTTGCAGTATGCATATACTGATATACATGTTCTGTTGTGGCACAATGGTGTGCCGTGTATCTTTTATTACTACCAATTAGCCACTGTTTTCCATGAGCCGGGATTAAGTTATACAGATCTGTAAGTGCGGCGACAGCGATCAAATGGCGGAACCGAGGGGTTTGGAAGCCATAACCACAGCGTGCCCGTTGCTGCCGCAAATTAAGGCGGCCATCAAGTGTCTAAAAGAAAGAAAAAAGCGGCCGTCTTTCGACCGCATACTGCAACGGTTAGTGCTGCACCAGCACGTTGACAACCGCCGAACGGTACAGTCCCAGCTGGAGACGGCCGTTCAACGCGAATTGCTTTTCGTCGTACACAGCCCAGGACTTCCGTGTTATAAGGACCCCGACGGCCTCAAGAGTATTCGCACATACGTCGTCAAGAATGTCAAGAATTTCCGCCGAGCGGTCGTGATGTCGGTGAAGGAGATTGGCGATCCAGAGGGCGCCACGGCCGACTTTATCGTGCAGTACATCCACGGGACATTTGAGTAAGTACCAGATCACAAACACGTAATCTTGCAAGCTGTCAGATACATTTGGGAGTACGGCAACCTAAACCAGGCACTTTACGTCAGAGAACTCAACAACGGTTCTCCGCATCTCCTAGCAGTACAATCATTTCTCTTTCCGATTCATTGAAGTCCCTAAAAATCAGTACAGTAGTCCTTTAGATATCGTTTGCCCCATCAGAGAACCCACTGAGCACAAAATGTTCAGGAAACGCAAAAAACGAATCGAGCATGGTTGTTACTTAGTAACTGTCGCACCGTGGGTGTGCATATTAGCCTTGCACATTTTACAAATCATGAAACTATTTTTGTAGAATTCAGTAGCGTGGGGGTCTCCGTGCCACAAATCGTGTAATGATGATGAATCCCCTACCCCTGATAGGCCAGAATTATAGAGCATGTTTCGTTGTATATGAATCCCCACTTGGTTCAGTTACGGTACAGTTGGCCACCCCCACTTTCTACTCGTGTTTACTCAGTAAGTACGAAATGTGTACGATGACGTAGAGTGCCGGGTTTAGGTAGCCGTACTGCCATTTACAGTTTAAATGTTTCGCAAGCCAGGCAAACCACCTTTCACGCAAATAATTTTCTTCTTCTGTTCCATAAAATATATTTCTTTTGTTTAAATACTTCGTAGATGTCCATTAACTAACTCTGAAAACGAACCCGTACCTCTTGGGCATGCTATTATGCTGTGTGATTTTAGGGTGGAGTTTGCCACTCTTCCAGAGAAGCTGCAGCCGGTCCTCACCGAGCTGGTTCGCAAAAATGTCTGGTGGAGCAGGCACCAGGTCGTTACAAATATCCCGGTTATAATAAGAGTACAGCAACGGTTCTCCAACGCAGGAGACTGATTATTGACCCCGTTACGAAAATGGCAAAATCCCCGAAACGTGCTCCAGTCGCCCAGCCGCGTGTAGACAGCAACAGCACCAACAACCGTGCTAAGCGACAGCGCCGTCGTCCGAAACGATGGAGTTCCTCCAGCAGCTCGGAGACGGACACCACTGAAACTGTTCCGCGGGAATACAAACGCTGCCGCCTCGGGAAATCCACAAGAACGGGGACGGCGCCGACAGCGATTATTCCCAGCAATGCCGAAACGAAACGTAGCAGAGTAACGAGAAGTCAGATGTCGAAACTGACTCCGAGAGACTACGAGTGCGGTGCCTGCAACTTCAACACACGGACAAAGGCGGATTTCTTGCTACACATTGAGAGCCCGGCCCACCGGGAAAAGGTCAACGGGAAAATGGTGCAGTGCGACATGTGCCCCTTTGGCTCGCGGAAAGTGGAGAAGATGACGGAGCATCTGCAACGTCATGGCTGTCATGCGGGCAGATCTGTACCATCCTGTCTCTTGGCATCCAGCGCGGTTAAGCTGGCTGGATCGAAATAATTTTTCCATATGAAGAAAGTTAAATTTCTTCCCTCTTGTTCTGTTGGGCGTTGAATGTTGATCAGGCATCAGCCTTAAGTATTGCGTGCAGGTTCTTCTATTACAAATCTGACATCATATGGATTAAAGAGCAAAGTGGGTGTTCGAGTCGAAAATTCCTCGATTTCTGTATCTATTTTTTTCATATATGCAGTTCCAGTTTGTCATTTTTTTTCACTTTTAAGTTGTTGACTGTACATAAAATAGAGGTCAATCGAACAGCAATTCGGCAATCTGTTCTGCTCAGCTGACTTCAAAGGGAAAGCACATCTTCCTTAACCGAATCCTCAAATATCCCAATACACAGATCTGCAGCAAACAAATTATACATAATCTTTGTTTCTCATGAGCCCATACTTTCGCAGTTTCGCATGCTAAAGGCACGCACGCCCGATCGACCGGTCTGTTAAACCACTGAACGTTTTGTTCTGCTCTGACTTCCGCAGCGCTTCCGTGTAGTTGTGGTACCATAGAACTTTGTGTGTCTGTACAAAAGAATCCGTCGAAGTAGTGCAGTCACACCGCATGTCAGCGGTTTCCCGTTTTCCCAACGGTTGCCGGTCTCTTCCCATAACCGACATAACACCCTTCCGAAAATTTGAGATTGATGAATTCGCGCGTGTGACTGACTTGTGGCATATTTTGTTTTAAGCTTGTGGCATATTTTGGTTACTATAAAGTCTAAGTCATGGCAAAACTCCGTTGCTGCCATTTGCCGGCACACTACAGTCTGCAGATACCCAGAAGTGTTAACCTGCACGTGTGGAAAACTCATCCGGATAGCCAAGCAAAAACAACGCAGAGATGTACGCGCCCGCGGAACGATGGGAGGGCCGCTCCCGGGTAATACCGAATTAATTTGGCCGCGCTTACACAATCTTGCTGTCAACCATCGACTTTCGTAGCGAAAACATCGCCATACGAGCACGCAAAACTTATCATTCGTTTAATTTGGTATGCACGAGTGCTTGTAATCCGATGACAGTTGTTAGAGTGTTTAAATGCAAAATATGGAGAAAAGGTGCTCTTGTTACACGTTAAGATTTCACTAAACAAATTCTATTACGCTTTTAAATCGGTTTGCTAAAACGAGAACGAGCTAGAATGGTAAAAAAACTGAATGGTCAGCCAGTGGTAAATCTACACAGCCACGCTGCGCTTATAACAAGATAATTAGAACTGGTAGACATGATCAGAATATGGCAGATCGAGTAGACGATATTTGCTTCAACATAACGCCATCCATGCATTTCCTCGCGGAGACGCCTCAGACTTTCTGTTGTGGATAAACCGGATAGAACTGACCAGTCGGGTAAATCGGCAGGGTTTCTGCCGTCGTATAGCCAGGTGGAGCACCTCCCGTCGGTTGCGGCGCGTACAGATGGGTAACCACCATGGTCTGGGTGGTGCGGGCATGCAGGGCGGGGCAGCCAGCCATTACCACGATGACGCCGACACAGATGGCCAACACCAGCACATGCAGGACCAGCACGACCGCCACCACCGGCCACAGGATGGTCAGGAGAATGGCGAAGATGAGCATACCGAAGGCGTCCAGCAGCGACAGGATGCTGAGCACCAGGGCGGCGATCATCAGGCAGCGGGCGTTGTCCTGGTTGGCCTGCGTGGTTTTCCCGGCGGCGATCGTTATCGCGCCGGTGATGATGTAGAAGATGCCGAAGATGATGCCGGTCGATCCGGTTATGGGGATGTACAAAGCGAAGACTGTCAATAAACATCATTATTAACAGCGTCTGCTTTAACCGTCTGATATTGCAGTACGGATTCCGACTGTAACAGTCAGCTGATAATTGTCATTTGTACACTACGCATGCTGAACGAGTTAATCAAGTGGGAAAGCTTGAGGGGGGAAAACGCTAAAAATAACTGTGAATTTAATTTTAGTGCAATTCTAATTCTTTCAGACAATGTCATTTTTTGTGGGTTTCAAACTTCATCCAATCACTACTCGTGTCATTACACTACGATTTCATTGTATTTGCCACAAATGTTTTCGACGTAATAATCATGCTATCGGAAAGCTGAGCCGTTAATGCAGGGGCATATAAATTTTTTCGGAGGAGAAAAAGAAGTCTTATGCGGCAACACAGCTAGGGCACGCTAAAATACTTAGTTACCAAATATTATCGGCAGTGATATAGCCGCGGTAAATGTCATTAAATTTGACGATTATACAGCAGTAATAAATGCACTACTTCAGCACACCACTTACAGACGATATCCAGGATAATCAACAGTAATCCGCAGACACACAGACCAGCGCCGAGCCCAATCATATGCCCCGTCCCCATTTTCGCCCCATTACCCGCCATTATGCTGACGTGCTACTGAACGAGTCGCTGCGTTCAACGTAAAAATCCTTGATAAAATGTGTCAAGCAGTGCTCGGCCTGGACGGAAATGCAGTTGAATTTGTTGTGTTTCCTCCGTCGCTGGCTCTTCGTTAGTAAAGTGTAACTAGCGCCACAAAGACACGTACTATACGGTTATTCTTAGCATACGGCCTTGTCCTTGCCTGCTGCGTATTATTATGCTGCCACTCTATGTTCGAACGTTCGCGTTAGTCATCCTGACGTTCTAGTAATATGATCACGGCGGTTGTAAGGACGACTACCTTCTGTGAAGTACAGATCTGTAAATAGATGCAGCAATATGTATCATGTGATGTACAAACGAGCCGTGCAGCACAATTCATGGGCGCCCGTAAACTGAACTGATGGGCAGTGTACTTACTCTACGGTCGGCGCCAGACGCCGCCGGTTAAGGATTTCCGCTGTGTTCTGACACATTCTGATTCTATCGTGTTGTGGCACTCATTCTCACCGTGTTTTGTTTTGACCTCGTGAGAAACATGCACTGTTTAACTCTGGCCATAGAAAACATGGCTAACGCACTTAACCAAGATGTGTGAGCATGGAACACGGAACTGCCTTCGAAGAGGGTTAGTTAGTTTTTTGCCATTTTAATCATACGGTCGGTGTTAAACAAGGTTAGGTCACAACAAATACAAAATAAATTTGTACACAGTAGTTTTCACACAGTAACCCAGTAAAAGCTCGTAGTTATAGGTGCAAAATGTAGTGAAGAACGGAATGCGTAGTGTACGTAACGCGAAGTATCGTGCAATTAAAACAAAAGAGTGCAAACCAGCGAAGTAATGATCATGCAGTAGAATCAAAACTTCTCTACTTCCTCATCAACGAGGACCGGCAAAGCCAAAATTACTGCGTTGTCGCCGTCCCGGCCGTAAGAATTCCGCAACATCCGGGCCGAGGTTCGCCGGTTCACCACCATTAGGAAGCCGAAGAAATGCTGCGCAAGCTTGTTGCTGCCCGGCCCGCCACCAGCCCGTATACAGTGTCCAGCGGTCGGAGGCCTCATCGTACACTTCATAGTCTACGTATTTTCTGTCGTACTTGGGATGCTCTTTGTTGCCACCCAGAACAATGATTTTGCCCGGTAAAGCACAGATTCCCGCGTCTGAACGCATCCTCCACATATTACCTGGAAATAGTGCGAGAATTGGCTCAGCGAAATGTAAGACCGTGAGAACAGAATATTTATGCCGTAACCGGGGGAAAATTACTATTACTGTATCAAGAATCCCGGCTTAAGCCACCAAGATTAAATAAGCTAACGATAAAGAAATTTTTACAGCACTTCTTTCTATAGAAGAAACAGAAGCACAGAAGCAGGGTCGACATTCGCACAAGCAAACAAATGAATAGCAGAATATCTCCCCAGCACTATCTTGGTCCGGGCTCGTTACCCATTACACGCATATCTGTACAGTATACCGTAAACAGTATGTCTGGATACAAATTTGCTTGCGCTGGACACTAATTCAAATGATACGAGTGAAGTATTGAAAACACAACCAAAATCGTAAAACGCGTAAGCCTGTTAAACAACCAGCAATATGCAACAAATTATGTTGGCCGCTATCTTCACGATTCCGACGCTCTCACCCGAAACCGAGCTATCGGACAGCAGCATAACTATGCTGGCTACGGGTACAGCTTTAACGTAATGGTCCCAAAAAACCGGAAGGGCCATGCTTACATTTTCTTGTCCACGTATTTGTCGCCGGATTGAAGGCCTCTACACACCGCGAAGGTCCCACTGTATTCCTTCGACCAGAATGCCGATCCCCACCTAACATAACACGCATGATGATGGTTTTATTTCACAAAATGCGGTAACAGCACAGTTTTAGAACAACAGATCAAAAAAACAGAATTTCATTTAATGCTGCCGCTCCCTCCATTGTCCCCAGCACGGAAGCAGCGTTGCCCCGCTGAATTTCCAGCGACAATCGTTGACGGAGGTACTCATGCGAGCGAGTTATACAATTTGTAAACGATCGTGCACTTTGCACAATTTATGACAACCGATGGTTCGATGCCAGATTATGCCCTTTTCCATCCCATAACCAACAATTCCGTTCGAACCAGGTTTAACTTGCTTACAAAGCGCACGCATATCGCGCAGAAGATAATACAGCACTATACATAGTTGTTTGTTTAATCAGCTTAATGTCTACCACAATCAGGACACTCCTGCACGAGATACATAGTAGACTACCATAAAAGAATGTGCTTTCAAACTAATGAAAGCACTACGTAAAATAAAAGTAACAGCAATGCAAATTATTTTACAGCAAACTGTACGGTGGTCAGCATGTACAAAACGTTTAGTCCAATTTAAAGCTGAAGCAGTAGTACTGAAGCCGCTAGCTGAAGTGGCTCCACCGAGTTGGTGTAAGGGAAAACAGCACTTGCAAATGCGTATATTGCCTGTGCATTGGTGAATGTACGATCAGTACACACATTTGCAGGTGCCATTTTCCCATACACCAACTCTGTCGAGTCCCTTCATCATCTACCGGCAACAGTACAGCTTTACATTCACATGTTACGCAGCCAGCAAAACTCCACCATACTCGGCTACATTGTGTCCTTTCGTAGTTTTATGGTTCCGCTGCTATAATACAGTACAGGAAACAGCCTCGGCTTCGCCTCCGCGTTAGACAAAAGAGCTGGGTAGGTGGGTAATCTGGGTAGTGGAAGCTCGGTCACTGGTTCTGCATGTGACGAATCTGTGCAATGGACAGAACTGTCACCCGCTTGCCTAACGGGTCTCGTACACTGGACAGTACCGTTAGATCGGTCATTCGTTCTCCTAACGGGCTCTGTGCATAAAATAGTAGCGGTAGCAGGGTCACCGGCTAGCTCGTTTGCCTAACGGGCCGACAGTACCGGTAGCTAGGTCACCCGCTTACCTAACGGGTCCGGTACACTGGACAGTACCGGTTGCTTGTTCAATCGGTAACTGTGCACCGGACAGTATTGGTAGCTGGGTCATTCGTTCGCCTAACAGGCTGCGCCCATTGGATGGTATCGGTAGCTCGGTCACCCGCTCACCTAGCGGGTCCCGTACATTGGACAGTAGTGACAGGGCTCCGCACATTGGACAGTACCGGTAGCTCGGTCACCCGCAAACCTAACTGGTCCCGTACACTGGACAATACTGGTAGCTCGGTCACCTGCTCACCTATCGGGTCCCGTACATTTGACGTAGCGTACCAGTAGCTTGGTAATTCGTCCGCCTAGAATTATGTATGGCGAGAGGCACTGGACAGTACCCGTAGCTCGGTCACCCGCTCACTTATCCATTCCCATACACTGCACAGTGCCGGTAGCTTGGTCACTCCTTTCGCTTAACGAGCTCTGTGCACTGGACAGTACCGGTAGCTTGGTCATCCCCTCACCTAACGGGCCCCGTACACTGGGCAGTACCGGTAGCTTGGTCTCTTGATCGGTCGGCACTCGCGCAGAAATTTTCATCGATGACAACGTTACATATGTACTCTTTGTCGTTCTTGTCGTAATAACGACCTGCTAATTAAAAGATTCTGATAATTTAAATAGTAGGAATGACGTTCATTTTCTAGCTATATTTCAGTTGGTTTACGTGGCAACATTGCCTGGTTAAAAATACCCCGATAATACTTATTACTACAATAATTTAGTTCCATTTGGTGAAGGTAGTCAAAACTCTTCCGCTTTGGCGTTCCAAGCGGGAGAGGTTCTGAAAGAAATGAATACTATCTGGCCGGGTTTTCGACTACGGGCTTTCAGAATATAATATTGGTTTGGGTCAGTCTTTTCTGGTTTGCCGGCTCTGGTGTATCCCATTCGTGGCCATATAGATCTGAAATTAGGATATGCGGTACTTCGTCATTTTTGAGTAACCAAATGATTTGTATGCAGAGACGTGTAAACAGCTTGTAAGCGCAACATCCGGCTGGTTAGTTATGGGTGAAATAGATTTCCAACGGTTTAAAAATACAGAAGCGTACCAAAAGTCACATTAATCAACGTTATACGGCTTTTTTTTAATACTTCAAAATATTTTTTAAATTATTCATAATCTTGATGAAGAAAAAAGCATGGTGAAAACTTGGTTTAGTGTAAAAACGACCTTCGTGCCAATGTGTGCTTTCGTGCAAAATTGGAAGAGATCGGTCCATACTGACCAGGGAACATTTTCCGCCTCCAAATTCAAAAAATTCTCATCTTTTGTAAAATGGTAGTGTACTATTGTAGTATGAGAATATTTTTTATTACAGACAACAATTAAAAGTTTGCATACTATGACATACTGTGTAATGCAGTGCAGTACAAGTTCATCATTATGTTAACTTTCCTGCAGCACCGTGGAGCATTTGCAGCTGTCCGCTGTCGTGAAATGATGTAAAAAAAGGCCACGTGCGTCGGCTCGCGCCATTGCTGCCTGTTTGCACATTTTCAAAAATTTGTTATGAAGTACAGCACATGTCTGCTTAATAGCAGAAGAAAGTTTTTTGCACAACTTATTATTGTTTACAACCGAAATGAATGAAAATTTTTTGAAAACGTGTAACCAGGCAGCAATGGCGCGAGCCGACGCACGTGGGCTTCTTTTACGTGTACATCATTTCACGACAGCGGACAGCTGCAAAATGTCCACGGTGTTGCGGGAAAGTTAACATAATGATGAATAACTTGTACTGCACTGCATTACAAGTATGTCATAGTATGCAAACTTTTAATTGTTGTCTGGCCACGCCCCCTTGACGATGGCAGCTAAAAATATTTTTTTAAGCACACTACAATAGTACACTACCATTTTACAAAAGATGAGAATTTGTTGAATTTGGAGGCGGAAATGTTCCCTGGTGAGACGCTTGATACACCTCAACACATTTTAACTTTGGAATGTTCTGAAAGCTCAAACTCCCTAACACGTGGGACCCGATATTACTGTACCTGTCCACCGGACGTGGGGCGCGTTATTTAAGCGGTTTTCAGTTTTCACGCCAATATACAGATACAAGTCATTGCAAATTGTTATGAATTTTTTAGCAGTGTGCGAAAGAAAATGTATATCTGTATTCGTGCCATGTAACAACTACTCGTAGCAAGTTACTTCCCTTAGCTTCTTACCGACAACGATGAGTTGGTCACTGAAAGCAGCGCACCGCCGCACACTGCGAAGCGGTCGCATACAGTCGGCACCGGCGGCAAATTTGTCCAGACGTCGGTTTTCGGATCATAGCAGACAAATAAATGCTTAAGGGTTGCGGCCTTAAATGGTCCGCCGCTGAAATGATCATAGTTGGATAAGATGTACAGCCGTCCGCATAGAGAAGCAGCGAAGAAGCGAAAGAAGCTGGCATTTGGTGCGTTATCAGGTAGAACAAGCGTCATCTGGGACACCATCTCCCATGCATCGATGGCACGGTCATAACGATACACCTTGAAGAGGGGTGGCGTGTTGTTGTCGCTGTTCACGCCGCTGATGATATAAAAAGATCCTCGGATCGATACGCCGGTTGCGGGGAAGGTCTTCATTGGCAGTGCGGTTAACTCGGTCCACTGATAATTTGACAAGCTGAAGCGGTAAAAATTCTTGCTTTCACCGCAACCAGCAACATACAGTTCGCCATCGATCGCTCCTAGAATTCTTCCGAACGACACCGGTTGTGGCAGTGGGCAAATTGTCCGACAAATGCCGTCCCGGGGATCAAAATACCGAAGGACCGATGAAGGACGTGGATTTTTAGAATCGACGATATACACCATGACGGCCCTGTAGCGTATAACCGAAAGGCACAGGATGAGAACTCGAACGAACTTTACCGGTAACTCGTCGGTACTTTCTTATGCGCAAATATACACCTTCCTAAATAACAGTTAGGTAACAAGTAACTATCAAGCTTTCCTAAATCGATTCAGAGAAATCTCTTAATACGAAATAAAACGAGGGGTGCCAAAAATTTTACGTGTAAGATAGAACGTACCGTCAGATTTTCGCACTGCGTACTGAGGAATAGTCCATCCCGACGTTTTGCTAACTTTGTAGAGGATATCCGCTGCGTCAGCACTGCCTTCTGCCTTCAACCGAACGACTGTGGTGTCCAAAATTTCCTCGCTGATTTGCGGAAGTCGGACATACTGCAGTAATTCCGCAAAGTGCCGGCTTCTGTATTCTGAATCATGGCTAAGCCAATTGACAATCGCTTCCAGGATGGACTCTTCTTGTTCCACGTAAATATCATTTGCTCCAAGAAGTTGGACGAACTTTAGGAAAAATAAACAACAGTTACAGGTAAAGGAGGTGGCTCGGTACATGGTGTACTGTACATGTACGAAATCTGTCACTTTCTCGCACTCCCCAACACTATTTTGCTTTGTCTTAAAACAGTTTGTTGCCAGATAATTTGTGTACATAAGCGTGAAAGCCGTTTATGCGCGCAACATCCGGTTGTGGAGTTGTGGCTCAAAAAAGTTTAAAGGCATTCAGGTGCACAGAAAGTCTCCATTAAAAATCTCCATTAAAAACATTTTGCATGTAAATGCAAGTATGACAGGTCGTTTTGACACCTCCGCACCCATTATGTGGAAAACGCTCGGTGTAAGGAATGTGTTTACTTTTTAAACTAAATTTTTAAAATTAGAATAAAATGGTGTCACCCTGGTTCGGTGCGCAAACAATCTCCATAATAATTATTATGTGCATTTAAGTGCAAAATTAAAGAATCAGTGCGTAGTGAGGCGTTTGGTGCACCTGAATGCCCTTAACTTTGTGGAATTTTCTTACAGCGCGCAGCTTCCTTATTCCTGTTAGCTAGTTAGGGCTAGCAACAACTCCCTAACCGGAAGTTACGCGCACAAACTAATTTCACGTCATTGTATACAAATCACATGGCTACAGAATTTCATACAGAAAGCAAAACAGTTTTTGGGGATGCGCGAAAGTGAAAGTTTTTGTGGATGCATGATGTATCTGTCCACGAATTTCAACCTGTAACCATGGACCGGGCGATGTTCCTTAACAACATCGGAATCGGGCGGCTAATACGAACACTGCTGCTGAACTCCACAATGATAACTTCAAAATATCGAATGAACAACTACCACAAAACAAAAAGTGGGTGAAATGAGTGCATGCGGTCACCTTATCGTAGTCCAATTCTAAAAACTCGAACTGTTCGGCGACACAGCCGATATTGGCGAAAATGAAATCCTTCGCTTCTTTGGCCAGCCGGGGTTGTTGATGTAGCTCATTATCAGCTAAACACCAGGTCATCACGCATGTATCCAGACTGAGGTTGTACTCCAGAAACTCCCAGCAGGCGTCCACGACGACGTCCATCCCTAGGTACACTGCACTGTGCAGAAGCAGCTCCACGCTGCTTGCGTCAATCGCAATTTGCGAAGTGTACGCGTAATCGATCAAACTGTAAATTACAATATTACCATTCATATTAACAATTTTAGTATGATTATATTACGCCTATCGGTTATCAGTGACGACAACGATCCGGGATGAAGCTGCACATAAAATTTAAGAATCACGCATAATGTTACGTTCAAGAAAAGCATGCTATTAAATTTTTACTGCAGATTGGGAAGCGGGATTTAACTGAAGAAAGCTGGATTTCAACGCATAAGCTGAGTAACATCTACAAAAAATAACCTACGTGGTAAGACTGCGTTGGGATGTCGTGGAGCCGGATACAGCGTTCTTGCGACTCTTTGGTCTTTATGGATGACGTAAAGGCTGCCCGGAAGTAACTGCTGTGGGCGCTGAGTACGACGCGGTGACAGGGAATTCCCGGCGACCCTCTTTCCCGTCCTTTCACCACGACATCGCACAGCGCTTCGTTGGCACGCAAATTTCCAGTTCCCGAAAAACATTCAACGGATTTATCTTCGTAGCTTGTAAGGGTGGCGGTACCGCACGCAGCACTGCTTCCAGTGTGTAACTGCTTCCCCCGCTTTCCGCCATGATCGTACACTGTCGTTCGGGTAATAATATTCTGCTGCGTTTATTGCCGGCAAGTGCGCCGCTTAGTGATTATTGGCGCTAAAAGGTAATTAAGGCGAGAGAAACGTTTTAGATTTACCAGGTAGCGGAAAAACACACGATACGATATTAACGGTAAATTTTTAGCGATATTACTTTCAGCAACACGATGCGAAACGCTGTTGCTGAAAGTGGGATGATTACTGCGAAAAGTGTTCATAATACGGGTCGTTCAGAAGACAGTTCGGTAATCATCAGCTTTTGCCAATCAAACCGAGAAAGAGGGCTCATTACTAACAGGGTCATCACGATATTGTCTTGCGTGCCACTCAACAGCGGAGGATGAAGTTTTTGTGACCCTCTAACCCAGCCACCCGACTGCTCTGTCTTGTCCTTCATCATTTGCGTTAAGCAGTTTTGTACAGTGAAACCTCCAAGATACGTACACCTCCGTTAAAAAAAAATCGTACGTAACGTGGAGGTGTACGCCAAACAGAGGTTCCCCCCTATACTCCAGCTTACGGAATGATTCGGTTAAAACTTTTTCGTACGTAGATTGGAGGTGTACGTATCCTGGGAGTGAACGTACGTAGAGGTTTCACTGTATTGCTACGATGAGTTTGGATAAAATCACTGTTCGCCAGTCAGTCTTTGAAATAGGGGACAAGTTATAAACTACAGCATCTCAGTTAGGAACAGGTTAAGCAACCCGGCAACACAACTTACTGTACAAGTAGCGTACATGTACATGCAATCGTGGCACGTCACTGCTGCACGTGTGTCCTCAGGCAAGAAGCTCGGCAGTAGCGTACACCACATGCCACATGGGCACTTGGGCAGTATGATTCTGCAATGACTGTTTTATCGATCGACTAATAACGCGGCTTAGCAGCTGATATGCGTATGTATGATGTATCCATAACAGTGCAGCCTGATAGATTTTCTTCTGCTGCCTGCAGCAAGTCGAGACTCGAGGCTGGCTTGCGCAAGACCTATTATTATAATTATTTATAATTACCTGAGTGAAAATTCGGTTAGATCGCTCCTGTCATTTCATATAATCGAAGCAAAAAATAATCGTGTTAAATGACTGAATAACGTCCTATAGCTCATCGTTATGGCAGCAACCAGCTCTCAAAAATCCTGTGATGCGATTATACCAAATCTCCCCTTCCGGAAGACTGATCCGTCTGGATTCTTCCGGGAGCTACAGAATCTGCGAGCCGACGAAGCCTTCTGTGATGTAGTGGTGAAAGGCTGCGAGGCCGGTGCGCCGGGGATTTCGTGTCACCGTGTGATTCTCAGCGCCCACAGCAGTTACTTCCGGGCAGCATTCGCGTCTCCTTCACAAGCGAAAGAATCCCAGAACACATGTCTGCAGCTTCACGACATCTCTTCCAACAACCTTACTCAGTAATACTAAATAAGCTTGGCCTTTTCGAGTACAGAAACGTAAATTGCTTTAGGTTTGTGTTGTATATTTGCCGGTTATCGAATATTTTATACTGTATGGTAAAACTTGTTCTTTGCCTTATACCTGCACACAAAGAAGTAGATTTTGTGTTGTATGAAATTTTCAAATAAAAAACTGGAAAAACAAAATTTGACTGGATATTTTGGGCACAGTTTCAAAATACTGTTTGCGTTAAAAACGGTTTCTTTGGAATTTTAATATCACGTTTTCTATTTGTCTATTCCGATTTCATGCAATTACTTCTGCAAGTTTATAATTTAAGCAAGTGCCTATCCAGATCTTATTAAGCAGCAAAAAAAGTCCGTTGCACGTTGGTCATAAAATTGATCTCTGCATTGGAGCAATTATTTTATATACCTATATCGCTATATGCATCCATTTAATAAGCAAGCATCGTTATTACTCATACATATCCGTAAATTCCTTTATGCGAGCGTTTTTATACAAATCCATTTCCAGACTTGGCTCACGCTTATGTATATTCATCATTTCAGTTGTAATTAACTGGTGGATTACTGAAGTTTTTCTTATTAACAGACTAATCAACTATGCATACACATCAGAGATCGCTCTGGATTGGAGCAACATACCCAGCCTGCTGCCCGATGCGGTGCACCTGGAGATGGACAGTATAGTAGACGCGTGTTGGGAGTTTCTGGAGAGCAATCTGAACGTGGACACGTGTTTGAAGACGTGGGGAATCGCCGACAACAGTCTCCACCGACGCCCCCGCCTGGCCGAACAGGCCAAAGCCGTGGCGGTTGCCTACTTCGCCCATGTGGTCAAACAACCCGACTTCCTGCAGCTGGACTTGGATAAGGTGTTCGGTTCCTTTACAGTGATGATTTCCGGATTTTCCATGCTTCGGCTCTCTTGCAGGTACAGGAGCTGATTGGAGCGGATGATCTTTACGTGGAACAGGAGGCCACCGTCCTGGAGGCGGTGGTGGATTGGTTGTGTTATGATTCTGCGTCGCGAGCCGAACATTTTTCCCAAATGCTGCAGTACGTACGACTGCTTGAGGTCAGCGCGGAGAAACGGTTGGACATGGCTGCGCGACTGTTGTCCGTGAACGCCAATGCCGCGGCTACGGTTGTCGAGCGAGGATTGGACGAGGATGATTACGAGATCGAATACCGGCCCAGGAAATCAGACAGTAAGCGCCCAGTGTTTCACAGAGCGCGCTTTTAACATTTTAAATTATTTTGTAGTTTCAAAATAAATTTTACGATCTTTGAAATTTTCATGTAAAAACAGTTTTCCCTAAATTTTAAAATGAATACAAAAATGTTAAAAATTCATTTTAAACGGATAACCAGGTGGAAGCTTTACCCGATGTCGTTATACAGACGGGCGTTTTCCAGAAAAATTTGAAGAAATCGGTCCATACCGAAATTTTTAGTACATACGTACGTATAAGCTAATTGAAATCTTACTTCCGACGAGCGGAAATTCAGTTAAATGGGTACACATACATGTACAAATATGCAGGTAAAAGTGTACATATATATGTACTGATAATGTCCATGTACAATAGATGTATAAATAATCGTAAGATACATGCATACATGCATGCATGTACACACATGCATACATGCATACATGTACATACTATATAGATATATGCATACATGTACTGTGTACATACATGTATACATGCAGTAATAAGTATAATATTAGTCTGTATACTTCGTTAGACTAAGTAATATTACATTGTAATATAATAAGTATAATATTAGTCTGTATACTTCTGAGAAGTACATGTGCTAACTGCGCATGTATAATTGTTTTATTATTGCCAAATAAAAGAATTTCCTTGTTTCTCCATCCGGAATCATGCAGCGAAATCGTTTCATATTATAAATGAACTCAAAGTATTTGTTGGTGATCAGCTTACAGGAACGTCATCCTCTGCTTGGGCGGCGTCTTCCCAACGCATCTACAATTTGTCGCCCCTACGGCATCCCTCGCGTGGGATTGGTGTCGTCCTCCGGAGCCCATCTCGCACATTGTCATCGGGACAGCGGCCTGTGTAAACGAGGACGAAATGTTTCTCGTCGGGGGCTACGGCAGCAGCTCCGCCTGTCTGCGCTACGACCTGCTCTGTGACGAGTGGCAGAGTGTTGCACCGATGCCGGCTCTCAACATCCCGAAATTAGCCGGTTGGTTGGAGGGACGCCTATACGGCGTGGACTGTTCCGGGGAGCGCGGCACGGTCTACGGCTACGATCCGTCCACGGAGGCCTGGCACTGTGTGACGCGCGTGTCGAAGCCGGGGTTGAGGCATGAAGTCGCGCTGATTGTCGGCGGCCGGCTGTATATCTTTGCTCAACGCGACGGTGGCAACGGTGCCGAGATTGATAATGTCGTCCTGGTATACGAGTTTAAGAAGAATACGTGGACGGAGCTGCCACCCATGCCTACGCCGCGGCAATGGTTCGCTGTGTGCGCCACTCCTCAAGGCCTGATCTACGTCGTCGGTAAGTTGCTGCGTCAGTAAATTGTAGAACTGAAAAAATTGATGTGCAACAGAAACACACCCAATGATTATCATTAAACGGCAAAGGTCCTTTGCCAGCGCTGGGTTCGAACAGTGATACAGGTGTTCAAGCACTTTGCGCGAAAACCTAAAATCTACCAACGTTGTTCGCCATTTCACGCGAATTTCGCTTTAGTTATTTAAGGATGAGCAGCATGACGCGCTGGTGAATTAAAGCGTGAGTATCGTATCTTAACCTAAACCGTTTTCATAGGAGGTCACAGGAAAAACAATGACCGGCTGAGTTGCGTGGAAGCTTACAACCCAGCAACGAATCAGTGGACCAATAAATGTATGAGAATCTTTTCTCAGCCAGCAATTATGTGTCAGCATTCGTATGTGCTTTATAGGTGATATGCAAAAACCGCGCGTGGGAGCGGGAATCTGTGCGCTGAACGGCAAGCTGTTCGTCCTGGGTGGGCATAATTCCCGATCCACCGAGTATCTGCGCGATATCGAGGTCTACGATGAGGTGGCCAATAGCTGGACATTCCATAACAGCCAGTTGAAGACAGGAAAGGAAGTAATGAGCTGCGTCGTCTTCACTGTACACAGGGAACTGCTACCGGTGCTCAGCCGACGTAGTTACACGGCGCAGGCTGTGCTAGTGGATAAAGAAGCCCTGTAGTCAGTGCCGACGAATTGCTGTTCTAAATACTGGCTCTAGTATGGTTGCATAACGAACTGGAGAATAGCTGTAGGGCAGATGTTGCTACTCACTTACTTTGGGGTAGTGTGTGAATGTACGGTATTTTTAGTATTGTTAGGTGTTAAGTAACTGGTCGGCGTTAATTTGGCACACCCCATAGTATTCAGTAGTCAGTGTCCGGCTTATAAATATTCTTAGTGATCGGGTTATAGGCAAAATGTAGACGAAACTGTTTTCGTGCAAAATAAATTGATGAAATTCGTTGTGGTTGTAAATTCAGTTTTTTTTGCGCAACCTTTTTGGGCTTTAACGTGCACAGAACTCACTATTGACATACCGCTCACTCACTAATCCCACTAGTCACATCACTTCCTGTTTACAGTCCCATCACATCCCACCTCCTAAACCTTGGTGGGATGACAACCCTATGTTATGCAGCCTCAGCTGATACGCAGCTGCAGCACGCTGCTCTTTAGATCGGGTTTTCATGAGCTCTCCGGCAGCCACTTTTCCCGCGTATTGAGGCCGCCTCGATTTTGTGGTTTTTTGTTGGTTATTTGGCTTTATTGCTCACAATTTCACAATAAATTATGTGGGATTTGCTCCCTTTGCTCTGATAAGTCAGAACATAATCTCTGTAAATTTGTTGGCATAATAAAATTATAAGCAATTCTAGAACCTTGAAGGCAAAAGTCAATTTTTTCAAACACGATATTTTTCGTTGAAAGTGGCGGGAACACCGAATGTGGAAACCGCTTTGCGAAAGAATCTTCAGCAATAGTAATTTGAGTAACATTTTGCGCTGATAACACGCGATGGTCATACTTAACTTTGTTCAAGCTTTGAGGTGCTTGATAGGGGATAAAACGAATAACGCCCGGCTAATCTGAATCAGTTGAGTAGTTGCTGGGCTGTAATCCAGCTACCAGTCAATGGACCAAGAAATGTCCGGCTCTTCGGCAAACAGTTTATCGACCGCAGTCAGTAATGACTGCGTTTTTTGCAGGTGATATGCAAAAAGAGCGGGAGTGGGAGCGGGAGTTAGCGCGCTAAATGACCAGCTGTTCGTCCTGGTTTTGCATAATTAATTCACGAGCCACCGAGTACTTGCGCGATACTGATGTGTACTATGAGGCGATCGAAAGCTGGGCGTTCGATAATAGCGGTTGAAGAAGGGAAAGGAGCCGATGAGTTGTGTGCCCTTTTCCGTGCACAACGTACAGAATACTGCTGCTAGTGTTCAGCCGACGCGGCACTGCCGAGGCGGTCCCTCACTGCTGGTGTACTTGTACTGAGAAAATGCGTTTTCTCATCGGCGATGCTGACAAGGATGCACGACATTTCAGTTTCCACATACATTCTACTTTTTGTCAGGAAGACATTTCTGTTTCCACATACATTCTACTTATTATCACGGATGCAAGACATTTCTGTTTCCACATACGTATCCTACTTATTGTCAGGAAGACATTTCTGTTTCCCCATACATTCTACTTATTATCACGGATGTATGACATTTCTGTTTGTGTTTCCACATACATTTTACTTTTTGCCACTCTCAGTAATAAATATTACCCGTCAGCTCACCATACTACAATGCACTGGGGGAAAAAAGCCGGATTCCGTACAACGCAAACCGGAGCCCGGCCGTGTACCGAGAAAACCGGACTGTTCTCTCCGAGTCACTTTCTCTGTAGTGATGTACGTACTGCGAGATTCCAACGGATATAAACGGCGTTGAGTGTTCCATTTTATCCGTTAGGTATGTCTTCATAGTAATTATGGTTGTCCGTGAACCAGCTGTCGGGTGGTGTTTGTAACATAATTTAAGCGGTTAATTTGAACCTTTCATTCGCAGAATCAGCCACTAGTTTATTAAATTATTACATAATTAACCCAGCAAAATGAAGTCATATTCTGTCCTTTTGATATTACTATTGCTCAGTCAGACAAATGCCGGTCCGAAAAATGTTACGTTAGTTTTACAGTTGTATATCGACGGTGTTGCCGTTGACGTAGTCAGTGCCCCATTATTAAACTCGAGTTTGCGTTATGATGACTATATTGCCGATAAAAAGGGTCCTTCTCCTCCACCCCAACGTCCTCAACCCGAAAATAAGACTTGTGCTATCATTATTGTTATTATCTTCGCGATTCTGTTTCTAGTTCCCCTCTTTATTGAGCCCGTTTGGGCCATACTGCGACAGTGATAACTGGATTCAAAGGGCCGTTTCCTTGCCGTCGGTTTACAGGTGCGCATCAATCAGCAGCATGTGCATTCGGTCTGTAGAAGGGCGGTGTTACGGAGCATAAAATTTAATACTGTAGTGGTACATGATGCTAATAAACTTATTAGTGAGTCCAGGCTTCTACCGATGCCCCTAAAGCCATTAAAACTACATTCAAGAGTATGATACAAGCTTGCAACAGTAATTATAGGCATGTACTCGTACAATATTCGGCATGCGACAACTTTACAGAATAAACGGCTTTTTAATTTTTTTTTAATAGCTCGTAAGTTCATCAGTAAAGTTGGCCGGCGCATTAGAGAGCAAACAGGAGAAACGCGCGCTAACGAATTTTTGTGGCAGCGTATAAGTGTGGAAGTTCGGCGTGCGCTACTTCTGCTACTTCTGCTTTAGGAACGGTTGGGTGTTCTAGAGAGCCAGAAGAATTATTCCACTTGTTCTAATTACTGGTTTCTTTATTTCAAGTGCAAATGCGTTAAGCTTGTACAAGTATCAATAAATACTATATACAGCAAAAAATTTTAATTCTTTTAAAACGTACGAGTCGTATACAACCGTGTCCGTGCTCCTGTTTCATGAACCATGTTTGCAGTAAATTAGAAGCCGACACCGCGATGCTTATGCATATCAATCTCGCTTCCTCAAGAGTCCGATTTCTTTACGTATAATTCACACACATGCTGAACATTCACGCGGCATATATACCTGCCTTAATTTTACCAGCAACGAAGCGCATTCCAAATTATAAACCGGGACCTGCTGTTTACCGCGGCTGGTCAAACTTGGCCGTCTGCCGCGTGGAATGCTCATCGTCCAAACCTTACAATCCCGGTAAGAGTATTCAAACCACAGCTTTCTGCAGCAAGGAAGTTAGCAAACGTAAAGTGCCCCCGAAAAGTTGCTGTGACCTTTCTGTCCACTGTATTTACTATTCGCACTCGGGACAAATGAATGGCAGTGAATCAAGACAATGAATTTAACCAAACAACTTCTATGCAGATTACATCAAATTACCCAAGCCTGAGATGATCCTGACTCGGATTTAACTAATTTCTGAAGCGGGATTTTCAATAGAGCGATCTACGCCATTGTCTGCTGCTTGTGCATGATACCCAATTCACCCATCGTCATCACTACCTACTGTTACATCCGGGTTACTCATCTGCGCAGTTCCTTCGCCGTCTGCGGGACTTTTTTGAATCGGGCTCCGAATCATGGCAAAAATTTCCGTACTTTCTCTACAATTGCAAACTTTCGAGGCATGCTGAATGCAGTGCTGATGTAAATGCACGCGCTAATCGGCTTTTCCCGTTGATGGCGCTCAGTTTCCCGGATTTATACAAACGTCTCCACATATCGACGATGACGTGGATACTTTTTCTGGAGACAGCGACGGCCACTCATCTCATCGTTCCTTTCCTGGGCCTTCTTCTGTTGGACCGCTTCTTCGCACTTGAGAAATCCGCTGTTTACGGTCTGAACTGGTTTGGACATGAGATGTTGGTGTATTATTCATGCACTGTAATTACCTTGGTATACGATTAATTAGTGCCGATGGTTTTTATACTTATTAGCTATCCACTACTGTTCCGGCTGTATCGAAGAGAACAGCAATGGAAGGAAGTGCTGAAGGGCAAGCAATCGAATTTGTTTAACAGTATTTTGTGCAATTCGGACCTGTGTGCACTGGTGGAAGCTCTGTATTTTTCCAGCCATCAGCAACAGGTAATCATGCAATGTGAGCATGTCGCCTATACCTTATCCAAAACAATTTGCTGCTATCGCTATCGCTACACTTCCAAATCAAACTATACTTCCAAACTGTACAAGTGCATAAATTGATTAGGAAATGTTATTACTGTGGTGATTTGCCTTCTGTTTGCATATTCTGCTTTATTACAGTTGACAGGCTACCAAGCCGGAGTGCGCATCTCCCTGGGCGTCATCCAGTTCATACTCAACCTCACCATGCCCATCCCCACCCTCATCCTCCGCGATCTGCGCAACGCCTTCACGGTGTACGTCGCCGCGCTCTTCACCGCCAACCTGGTCTACGTCGGCACCGAGTACCCCATCGACGTGCTCCGCATCGTCTACTCCGAACAATCCTTTTCATCCTCCGTCTGCACGTTCTACCTGTACCTGGTCTATGTCTTCGCGGTGGTGCGCCTGCACATGCATGTCCTGATCACCATCAACCGCATCTGGGCCATCCAGTTCCCCGTCCACTACCGCAACGTCCACAACGAGCGGGTCGCTGTTCTAGTTTGCCTGGGAACGGTTTTATATATTCACATTCTGATTCTCCCGTTGATCATCATCGATCTGCTGTATTATCGATTGCCGGAGCAGGTGTACGGGTGCGGGTTGGCCTCGGACCAGCTGCCGCTCTTCGAGTACGAGCTGATTGTAGAGGTGCTGGCGGATGACCTCTTGATTGTCGTTATCATCGTGGCATACCCGTTTTTGTATTATAAACGCTGGAAGGCCATCAAGAATCGGGAGAATACACCCGAGGGACAAGCCGCGTCGCATCCGTTCTTACTGCTGACCTCGTTGACGTTGGGGATCGTTGTGGCGTCCGCGCCGGCCAGTGTGTATTCGACGCTGATGTATCTAGTCCAGCCGGAGGATTATCATAAGTATGCGGAGTTTGAGCGCGCCGCGCAGATTATGGCGTAGCTGCTGCCGGTGATCGATCCGATCGTGTTCGGACTGAGTTTGAGGGATGGGTCTGAGGTTTTTTGAAAGGAGTCGTGGTAATTCTATTACGCCGATTGGTGCGGTGGTTTAGGACCGAAAAACCTACACATGATGCGGTCGATGTATATACAGCGTTTTGCCCAAGTCTTCTAAATTTGAAACTTTGGTCTGAGTCTTTGATATTTCTGATGATTATAAATATAAAACTCCAGTTTGGTTTCGCAAATAAGCACACGTTCATGCAGCCGTCGCAATATTCAAACACCGTCACAATATTAACTATGTGCGAGAAACAGTTACATAGAAGCTGCAGAAATAGCACATATAGCAATTTTCTAATTTTGTTTTTTTGTATTATTTTGCAGGCAGCAAATTTTTAATAGATTTTACAAACATAACCCGCATGCTGCAATATATATTCACTTTATTACCGTGATTCTGAATATAATATTATTCGGTGTGTCCAGTTAATGCCAAAGCTATGCGCAGGAGGTTTTCTCTTTTAACCCTTAGTTTGACTGACATAAAAAAAGTTACACACGACAATTGATTACAAATTCCACATGGGCCGGGCAGTACAATTCCAGGATTACCGTGACCGGAATGCTATGACATCAACCTGGGAAGCATTTTACCGAATTCTGCCAAATTTGATAAACGCCAGGTCTTTAAAAAACCACGTGTGTAAAAATGACACACGTTTGGCCGGAAGTCACTTTTAAGCAAAAAAACATAAAGTAGACTGCTGATTTGAACTCACATAAAATTCTGGCTTATAGTATAGATTACGTTTAATCACTTATAAAAAACAGAGAACGAAAACAAATCTGCAGTTGTCCGGGAAAAAATTCTAAAGACAACGATCGCAAATGGTACCGGTGCGTGACCTACTTAGCCCGAATAAATAATTCCATTTTGCGCTACAGTGAAGTGATAAGAGCAGAGCGCATTTATCGCTTGCGCGATCCGGAATCTTACCAGCTTAACGGATGCGCAGAACAAAGGCTGTTCACTAACGATTTTGGATGTTTTTTCAATGTTTAAATTTTTATCATTTAAAGTAGTGTAAACCTGTGCTATCCCATCTGATCTGTGAGCTGACTGGTGTCGAATAAAAAGCAGAAGGCTGTTCAAAGCATTGTTCAATTGCCCGACTTACCGCGATCCCGGAACTTTTCTTTTCCGATTTTAAAATAACGGTGTGTCGGATATTATGTTTTATTATTTCACTAATCTAATGACGCATAATAACTTGTGGAAAAGTATGACTATTTAATTTCCTACTACACAGATGTCGTTACTCGTTGGGAACATAACATACTATTAACAGTGCAATTAGGATGTTGTTTACGATGTTTAGAATTGTATAACTAATAAAAAAAAAAAAAAAAAAAAAAATTAAAAATTAAAAAAATAAAAAATTAAAAAAAAAATTTCGAATTTTGCGAGTAAGTATTATTACGTATAACGTATGCGTACTACTCCTACCTCTGCAGCAAAGGCTATGCTGCAAATCAGCACATGTGCGCTTTCAAATCTATTCGCACAGGCATTGGCTCTACTCGCTCTCTGTGACCAATGGTCTTCACTTGTGTCAATTTTACACAGTCAGGCATCAACGGTGAAAAATATGTCAGTCAACTAAGGGTTAAGGAACTTTATACTAGAAAACGTTGTATGAACCCAAGTTCAGACGATTAATTTTCCAATGCGGAATGGAAATGCATCTCTCACAGGAGCAGTTTACTGTATAGCACTGACTTTTGTGACGAGCTTGCAAGTATCGTACAGTGATCAGTAATTTTTTACGCAAAGTACGAATCAGTAATTTTTTATGCCATTATCTACCAGTTATCAAACTCCCGGCTGACTAGCGAAGTGGGCAAGATGATATGGCAGTAAACAGGCGAGAAACGTGCAACGGAGTTTTCGCGCCAGAGGTTCAACATCGAAATTCAACGTGGAAACGCGGCATCCAACCGGCGAACGGCACCGGCCTCGCCTAATGTAGAACAAATGTTCTCTGTAATCCGGCCGCATTTTTCTGCTATTTGTTAATATTAGGATGTGATGCTTCTTTTGTGAATTGTGAGCTTGTTTTAGTATTCGATCAATAAAGACACAAACATCTGACAAAACTGAAAACTACAATCACATAATTATTATAATAGACGTAAGAACTCTGCAAGCAGTAAAGTATATAATATTCACATTTTTCAAAATGTTACAATGGCCTTTGTACGTGCACTAGTATTTATTTAACTATAATAATATTATATAACTCGGCATTTAACAACAACCATTTACTGGTGATATAAACATAATGAATAATCGACCACTGGCTTCCCTGCGGCGTCAGACATGATGAACTGCTCGCACAATCTGAAATACCGTGTACAGTTAGTAGCCCTCGCCAGGGGTTGTATGATGCAACAATGGGTTCCCTTGATATTTATTTCGCATACTCGCGCGCGTAACTATTTCGTTTACTTATTTTATTGAAACATTATGCCAGCTTGAATGTTGATTCTTTGCCGTACGGCGGTCGTGCAAGGCGCAACTGATATGCAGTATAATTATAGTCGGAGAAGGAAACGTCCTTTCGGTTGTTAGCTGGTGCTTGTGTTGTTGTTCGGCTCTCGCATCAAGAAATAAAGCAAAATATAAAATGAAAACAAATTTATAGCCCATGCACGTACTGTATCGTACTGCACGTACTGTATCATTACCATTGTGATTTGCGACCATTCATAAACTGGAGTAAGAGTAAACCGGCCTCTACCAGAAAAACTGGGATATCGCACGTTTCAGCTATTTGAATAATCTGAATTTAGTGCTAATACATTTTTTCTGCAGCTTTTGACTATTGATTTTTGACTAAAATGCTGGCCGTAGTGGAATGACTAACTGTTATGTCGTAGTGTAAACATAAATAAACAAAGAAATCTGTCTATTAAATATTTATTATTGAACCTTGTACGTTAGTGGCGTAAACGAAGTAATATAATAATAACAATCTGACACCATGTATCGGCTTCTATCGGGGCACTTAACCCTTGGACTTCCAGTACACAGTAAAGGAAAAAGAACTTGACTAAACTCCCCTCCAGTTTACCGGATTTTCTATCTTCGGGGCGCTCGTTACCCGGCCGAAAAGCTACTTAGACGACGTGGAGGTAAGCCGCCTGCATGAGCCATACTTCGCGCGAATCCGGCTGCACCCAACACTCGACGCGCGCCGGGCGGCGCGCGTCTACTTTGGGAATAAACAACGTGCTGGCGACATTTCCCGCGCGACTGTACTGCATCCCGTACTTGGATAAGGTATCCTCTGTTGCAGCGTCCGGTGGAATATATTGGCGAAACTGACGCTGGTCGGGATCAGTAAAAATTAAATCACGCAGCGGATGCTTTTTGGGCGCCTCCAACCACTGCCGGTTAAAGCGCCAGATAAAACCATGGAGCATGTCAAAGGGCTCCAGGGGATGGGTGAAGCCGGTCACGCAGAGAAGACGGGCTTCCGCATCCCGGGGTACGGTGACGTTGGCCATCGGAAGCGGGAAGAGTTCGTTACCGGTGGGAGCCACCCGCAGGCGAAAGGCTTGTTGGCGGCAGAAGCGAGGTGCCACCTCGGGGCACCTCTGCTGGCACTCCACAACGCCTCGATCGCTCCAGCTGACGTTCTTCATAATCAGGGTGGCAGCGGATATTGTCCTGTTTATTGCGTGACTTATGTTGTAGCCATTGAAGACGTTAATGCCGCTGCTTTTGGCCACAGCCACTGGTCGACCGTTGTGGACCCAGACAATGTCCGGCGTGTCGGATGAATTAGGAGTCAACTGCAGCGGACAATAAAAAGTAGCCGCATCGCCAGAATTCGTATCCACAACGCGCAAATTGTCGACAATGAGGCTGGATGTCTCCTTGTCGTCCAGTGGCAGATAAATTCGTCCATCGACTGGATGGCGCGCTGCATCATTCAGCATTTTATCCACTAAAGACACAATCACAAAAAAATGACTTTTTAATGGGACATATTACCGTTCTGTCCGGGCATATGAAATTATGGTCATTATTATAACGCACACACTTCAATGACTAACTTAAGTAGCCATACGCAATACCGGAATATTATTGTAGCGCAAAGACATTGTTATGAAAGTAATAAGGTTTCTAACGAGTTTTGTTTGCAAAACTTTCGAAAAAGAATAGATAATGCGTGCCTTTTCCCCTAATCTGTAATGGGGGTTTTTTGCCGCATAGCTGCATACGGAACTCATTAAAAGTTAATATATACAACTGGTACCTTGCCTCGTGTGTTCCTCGTGGTAATTGTAATGAATGACCTAACTTTTTTGCGCAAAGAGCGCGATGACCATCGCAGTGACCATCTGTGGTCCCCAGTTAGATTCTTTCTTACTGCGCCTACTGTCGTCCAGCCACCATCCGCCAGACAAATACAGTATTTCTTCTGTAACAATACGAGAGTCTCGCAACATCTGACCGGTTGAGGTGCACCAGCCATGCCAGATGCATGTGAGATGCAAAGGCTAAAGAGTGCGGCGTGACGCGCCGTGATTTGGAGCGTGGCCCCTGCCTTTGTGTTTTCAGCTGTACCAATTATGCGACAGGTTTGTACTGTAGCGGCGGTAGCAAGTTAAACCGGTGCTGCGTGGGTATAACTTGCTAACGCCGCTACAGTACCACGCCGTTACAGTACCAGGCCATCCCAGAGCTGTACACGATACCAAAGTCTTGTACATATACAAGTGCCGAAAGCTTTCTTAAGCTTTCTTGTTCTGGTTTGATGTACAGCATCACTTGTGTAATTATTCTGATTATTCGATGTACAGCATCACTTGTGTATTTATTCTGATTCTTGTATAATTATTCTGATTTCGCAGTCTACCACAGAAGTCTGCACTCCTTTCGGTTTTTTTTCTATAACCTAACCGGATAAAAGGAATAACCGGATAAAGCGATAGCAAAAGTACGCCTGTTTTTGGAGGACAAGCCAGCACAAAGTCGGGTTGAGCGGTACGGCACAATAGCTTTCTGTTGTGCCTTAACACCGTTTTCTGCAGTAAGAAGACTAGGAGATACAGTCTGTACGTATATGCCGACCAGATGCGGTAATCAAATAGCACAGTTTTTTGTATATCTATTTTTCACTTCACGGTTCGAGTAACTCTTCTATTGATTAATCCAATACTGGATGCAGGGACCAGGTAAATGCTTTCTCGAACAAGGTGGATTTCGAGTGTGTAACATTTGGCTACCTCACCAGATGCTTCTAAACTTAAGGGAAGCAGCCTGGTACATGGTGCCAAATTCGTGTACATGCACGAAAACTTTCACTTTCGCGCACTCCCAAACACATTTTTGTTTCGGTTTATGACATTCTGTAGGGCCCAGATGATTTGTATACACTGGCGTGAAATCCGTTTGTGCGCGCAACATTTAATTCGGGAGTTATGGCTGTTAGAAAATTCCAAAAAGTTTAAATGCATTCAGGTGTACTAAAAGTCTCATTATGGACTGATTTCCTTCAAATTTTGCAAGTAAATGCGCATGTTCATGAAGATCGTTTTACATCGATCCACTGATCTGGCATGTTTTTCAAATTTTAAAATGAATTTCAAAAATTTTAAAATTCATTTTAAAATATCAAAAAAACCATGGAAGTCTGGATCGGTGTAAAAACGATCTTCATGGCCATGCGCCTTTTACAGCAAAGTTTCAAAAAGATCGGGTAATAACCAGACTTTTAGTACACAACAATGCATTTAAACTTTTTTCCCTTTATAATTCGCCATATCTCGGCAACCGGATGCTGCACGCGCAAACGGTTTTCAGAACAATGTGTACAAATCATTTACCTTTAGGATGACATCAAGTATTGCAAAAAAGTGATTCGTATTGTGCGAAAGCGGACGTTTTAGTGTATGTATCCCATTTTTGACGCTATGTACCGGGCCACGTACCCAATCGGTACGTATGGTATCTGGCCGCGCTATCATTATTATTGTTTAATATTTAAAAGAAGTAATTCAACGGCGCACTATGTAACATCACTATGTCGAATGCAGTTGGAGGTATTCTACAGATAACAGAGCACACAATTATTATCCACTATACACGGCATTATATTAAGGGAAAAGTCACGACATCTCAAAGAGCAAAGACTGCTCTTTCCAGTAAACTGCTTTTCTAAAATAACGTTATACATGTATATGCACATGTACCGGGTCACTTCCCTTAAGTGCAGTATTTTATATATGGCTATGAACTGCCTTAACCTTGACGAAATGGTTGCAGCAGCCGCTGTCCAGTGTTTGTAACCATGTTACGAACGCTGAACTGCTGCTACCGATGGGCTCACTTATTCTTCCATGCAGACTTTGTACCGAGTCCAAAGGTCTTCACAGTGCTCGTTGTGTAATATTGCTGAGAGAAAAAGGCAGAACCAAACACGACTTGGCTGCTGTAAAATTTTGTTCGAAAGTGCAACGCATACTACAATTCCTAAAATGCTTATTTAACTAGAATAAGGCACCGGCTGGTGCACTGGTAGGCGAGCGTAGCAGCTTCAGCTTTTCTCGAAAATAGTTTTCCTAATTGTTGGTGAATTAGTAAATGAAGTTCGTCCAATATATAATATGGAAACATGTACATACGGAAAATTTTGTATTTAACAAAATGTATAATTATACTTCCATAAATGAATAATCACGAATACCGTGTTGCCGTATTAATTACAAGGTATGCATCGCGCTCCTCGCTCGGCACTACCCTCTTGGACGAATACTAATAATTATTTGATCGTTCCAAGTTTTTTTCTTGCTTCTCTGACCACAGCTGCAATTTTTCACTTCTATCATTATTAATTATTGGTCTATGCAGTCCTTAGTTTCACTGCATTATTTCTCTGATTGTTGCCACCGTGGTAACAGTTTATTTTATGCGTAGGAATGTGATACCATTAAGTATCTTAAGAACAATTATAATTATTACAGTATGTACTCGTACTCCATTTTCACAGTACTTCCATACTTAAGAACCCGTCGAAATGTCTTCTGACCAAAGCTTCCTTAAAAAAATTAAGATTCAGAAGGCACACTTATGGGAAATTGAGAATTTTTCAGGACTAAGCTTGAATTAAACTGACCGCGCGTTGACAAGTCAATAAAAAACCCAAGAAAAATACGTTTTTGACGGTGAGTTTGTATAAATATAAAGATACCTGCGCTCACAGTGCAGCTGTATTTGGGACAAGGGCTTAGATTGACTATAACGTAATGTGTTAATTCCTTGCACATTTGCTTTGGTTATTTTAGCATTTCTGTCAAGATTATGTAATATCTATTGCAGAATTGTCCCTGTGCGACGACCCAGATGCCGTTGCCCAAGAAGATCTCACAGAGCGTAGTGTATTTCTTTTCTGCATCAAACAGACATCCACGCTGCAGTATGCTTCTGATGACCTCACAATAATATAATTTTATTACTGGCGCCCCACGCCCCGTGAAAAGAAAGTAATGATATAATAATGGAGTTTTTCAGTTTTGTATCAGGCAAACAGAAAACAGAAAGACAATATTCTACTTTTGTTGGGCTAGAAGGCTACTGAGCATGACATAAATAAAAACTTGCGTAAAAAAAAAGAAGGCTCTAGAAGGCTCCGGTCCATAATAATGGATAGTTATACAAAATTTATACATACGAAGTATGAATAGAAATTTCGTACCACTCACATCGTGCAAATTTACATTCCCAGCTCCCATCTACACAAGCCTGTGCAGATGGGATGGATGTCTCGCCCACTTTTGCCGTTTTTTGTACTTGGCAAGCCAGGCCAGAGTTATGAGATATCCAGATAAATGTTATTGCTACCACAGTCAAAATAAGCTTGAGTCCTATCGGGTTGACAAATAGAGGCCGGCGCTGCTTACCGGTGCAGTGCACCAGCCGCCTTGTGCGACGAGAAATGGGCCAATCAAACGGATACAGCGACGATGGAAGCAGTGATGCCATAAATCACGCAACATAATGCACGATTGCCGTGTTGTCAGCTAGTTGCCGTGTCAGTTGGCAGTGGTCCGCAGCTGGTGGCGGTCAAAGTACTGTCACAACTGCCCATAAGGACATGCAGTAGTGGAAGGTGCAACTGGTTGCCTAGCGCATTAGCGAAACAATTAAAACCTCATTTACACTTAAGCTAAAATATCATATAACTAGAACAAGTAAATAATTTTTGTAAATACAGTATATGGAGCATCCAACGGTTTCCAAGCAATGCGACAATCAACCATGTGTATAGCTAAGCAACCGCAAAGCAAAAGATGCTGCACCGGTTAGAGCACACCGCGGATACCACCTCACTAGCTGGAAATGGCAAAAATTTGAGAAATTGCAATGGCGATAAAATTAATAATTTTCCGTTAATGAAAATTGGTTAAAATGTACACTATAACATAAAACCTTACTTTAACTTGTACAAGCAAACGCCATAACAATAATTAGGCTGAAGTAAGATAATTCTTCTAGGTTTTTAAAACAACCAGCAGCTGTTTTACACAGTTTGTTGCATTTTATTGGTTGATTGTCCTGAATAGTTGTGGTATTATTTTTATTAAATACTTATTGATATCTATCAATCATGGGAACAGCACCAGCCTCGGCTAACTTAAATGGAAATGTTGTGTGTGCTTATATCACCTGTTTCCGCAGTGGGCTAAAGCTGTACAATCAATAAAAATATGTTTTTTTAGTAGAAAATTTGTTATTGTTGTGTGAATAAAACTATCAATCTGTGTCATTGATGCACCGTTTATATACCGTCTTGAACTTTATTGTATTACGCGGGTCGGCAGACAACTGAAATAAAACTAGATCATCGCAATTCGCAGCTAAAGAATATTGAAAATTCAAGGACAGACTAATATGATCTTTACAGAAATGGTGGTCGTAGCTACAGCTTAGGACGATATGGTCGCATACCCAACATCTCCACATTCAGTACGTATGCAGCGCAGTGCAGTGTACGACTGAGTTCAAAATATCCGTTTCGTACAAGTGCACTGCACCGCTTGCGTACAGAATGCTGGGTATGCGACCATTTAGTCCTACATTGTATAAGATTTAGACCGGCTAAAGCATTTCAGTAATAAAATGCGCTTTTTTTGAACTCCTTATACTCCGTCGCATTATTATACTTATTAGTAAACAGTATCATATGACTAGCGCAACCTTACTCACGTGATCGAAATCTTTCTTCGCTTCGCTCGGTAGGAAGGAACAACGACTATACTGTACAACGCAGCTGAGGGGATACTTATACACAAACAGTTGTGCCAACGGGTCTGTTTCTTAATGATAGCGCTTTACGGATTGATCGGATCGATCCGATCAGATATCTGATGTTTCAAAGATCAAATCGAAAGCAAATAGTACCAATAACCCAAAGTCTAACGGTACCAAGGAGACAAGGTCTATGAGACCAGCGTGATCAAAGCGTGATCATAATGAGTAGCGTTGGCATGCCGCATGCATGCGAATACGCCGAAGGTGGCTTCAGAAATATGCATCCTGCGGACAAATTAAAGGCGAACGCGGTAATGAGCGGTAATTTCTTTAATTAGCTGCACTTATAACTAGACTGATAGTATTTGAATATAGGCGGTGGTGCCTGGTAATGGTGGCCGGAGACAAAAAGTGACACAAACAGCGCATACTGTAACGGTTAACCGTGGGCTTATTTGTACAACTAATCTGGAAATTCAGTTACTAACGTTATTTATCAGCTATATTATCGCTTTATCAAAGCCATAGAACAGAGTGTCGGATTCAGAAGACCCGGGCAAAGCATTGGTACATGCAGTACATCGATCGCGTCTTGCATAGGTAATTTTGTCAGTCCTAAACCACCGCACCAATTGGTGTGACAGAATTAACACGGCTGTTAGGACCTTTCATAAATACTGCCGAACGCCTAACTCTGTTCAAGTTGATCTTTTCCAGCCCCTTTTGGAAGAATTCCCGTACATTCCTCAAACTCAGTCCGAATACGATGGGATCGATCACCGGCAGCAGTGACGCCATAATCTGCGCGGCGCGCTCAAACCCCGTATACTTATGGTAATCCTCCGGCTGGACCAGGTACATCAGGGTCGAATACACACTGGCCGGGGCGGACGCCACGACGATCCCCAACGTCAACAAGGTCAACAATAAAAACGGATGCGACGCGGCTTGTCCCTCCGGTGTATTCTCCCGATTCTTAATAGCTTTCCAACGTTTGTAATACAGAAACGGGTACGCCACGATGATGACGACAATCAAGAGGTCATCCGCCAGCACCTCCACAATCAGCTCGTACTCGAAGAGCGGCAGCTGGTCCGAGGCCAACCCGCACCCGTACACCTGCTCCGGCAATCGATAATACAGCAGATCGATGATGATCAACGGGAGAATCAGAATGTGAATATATAAAACCGTTCCCAGGCAAACTAGAACAGCGACCCGCTCGTTGTGGACGTTGCGGTAGTGGACGGGGAACTGGATGGCCCAGATGCGGTTGATGGTGATAAGGACGTGCATGTGCAGACGGACCACCGCGAAGACATACACGAGGTACAGGTAGAACGTGCAGACGGAGGAGGAGAAGGATTGCTCCGAGTAGACGATGCGGAGCACGTCGATGGGGTACTCGGTGCTGACGTATACCAGGTTGGCGGTGAAGAGCGCGGCGACGTACACCGTGAAGGCGTTGCGCAGGTCGCGGAGGATGAGGATGGGGATGAGCATGGTGAGGTTGAGGATGAACTGGATGACGCCCAGGGAGATGCGAACACCGGCTTGGTAGCTCCAGCCGTCCGGATGGGAAACATTGGTCCAATTCGCTTCGGTTAAATTTTCCATGATACGGTTATTAAGTTAAGTACTCCTCCGATCGAGGTTCGTCTTCTTAAAGAACGTTAGTAAAGTGTTCAAAAACGTTGCGTACATTGTGTAAAAAATTACGGTCTCCCGGATGCTTAGCTTGATTGAGTGCTACCGGAAGTTATAGAAGGGAGAGTAAAGGGAAACCTTTTCTCTCGGTAGAGCGGTCTGATAGAGCGCGTTAGGTGTGTGCACGGCTGCGCGTTATCTTGTTTGCCAGCGTACGCATTATTTGTCCAGATTCTGCGGTGCTTATTGTCCGCTGTAGGTATCGGTTTACAGGATAAACATGGGATATACCGCAATGTACGCAATTATCAGACCATTCTCCTTAACTATCGCTATGCTCTCCAGTTTTGATTGACGCATTTTTACCTCCGTACATTGTGAATTAGAATAACAAGTGTTTTGTGCGAGATATCTGCGGATGTTGCGTTGATATAAACAGGTTTATAGACCGTACGGTGCGGCTGTTCTCGTTCGCTTTATCGCCATCTGAACTAAGCATACCTAAAAAATGTGCTTTTTTCTTTTCGAAAATGTCGCCGCTGGATTGTGAGAGCCAGAAAAAGCTATAAATATATTTAAAAGCAAAAGCCGACCTTAATATCGTACAAAAAATATTAATAGCGCACAGCAAAATACTAATACTTTTGTGCTGTACAGAGCTCAGCTGATCGATGCATACTTAGTGACTGCCCTACGGCGGTAGTTAATTCTGTTAAACTGATTCAAAAGTATGTGGTCGCCTTGAATATCTGTACACCCAGGTTTTCTACACCATGATACTTAAGCGCCCTATACCAATTTTCGGTTAACAATCGATTAACAATTTTCAATTTAGCGATCGATTAACAGATATTAAACGCTAGGTAATGCCTTTCATTTATTAATCTTTTGAGTGCAGCAAATACGTCAGCGACTCATCAGTGGCAAAATGAAATGCACAAGCAAAACATACCGCTAACACCACACCATAATTGTTAACCTTCCATTAGCAACTTATTTGATAAAGTTTGAAAGGTTAAATTTCATGTAATATGTATGTTTTTACTAAACATTCGATTATGCATTGAAGCGTAATGAATAGCCTGACAGCTGAAAACCATTGAGCATTAATGCTGACGAGAATAACTAGCCGCACCAACAAAACGGAAAGAAATTTTTTATATATTTCCGGCCTGTGCAGCTGTCCTACTTAATGTCTTGTTCGTTGTCGTTTTACTTAACATCTTCAGCGCAAATTCATCCGTTAACAAAGAACAAACCAACCCATATAATTGCGGCCAGCGGAAGTGGTGTTTTTGCCTGGGTAGACGCAAGGGCTGAATATATACCGTGATTGTCCGCCGGGCACACATCGTGCTTGGGAAACAGCCGGCTGCTGTTGTGACATACGAGGTATTGTAGGTATCTGTACATGTACGTGTGTGCATCCTTGACATTTCCTCTGCCAGTGAAAACGATGGGCAGCGGCGCCGACAAACAGCAGCCGTTGTCTCTTACCGGCACAACAGCCGGATGAGAAGGGGCTTTGTGCTCATGTAATCCCACCGTTGGCTAATTGTTTTCCGCTCTTTTCTCCTCGTTTCTCGGCTGACAAACATAAGGACGTGCGCGCGCACCTTCCCAGACGAGAAAGATTCATCGCGCTGACGTTGGTGGTGGGAGATTTTCCAGGGAGGATTGTACGGGGCTTAGTATTTTACCGTGTGGTTGAATGCGCTGTTAGCCAGTTGGATTAATTTTTAAGTTGATTATATTGTACGAAAATATTTTCTTTAACGGATATTTAAGCCGGGTTGACAGCTGCTCTGCACTACGATTCCTTTTGTCTTAAAGGTGGAGATTGCTGATTTCTGGGTGAGAGCGGGGGAAAATGGCATCGACTCCGTATATCCTGGTGACCTTTGTGCTGTGTGTCGCCAGTGCCGTGACTCAGGGCGCTGCGATTTTCCAAGCTGATCACGATATTGTTAAGGTAAGAAACATCTGTTTTATTGTGCGAGTGACCTTTAAAAATAGACAACGTGATACGCTGAAAGTAATGTAATTTTAATTTAATCGGTACTGCCGCGCAACATATCCTAGCTGAGCAAAGCATTTTTCATTGTGATTTTCACATCTACGGTTCTACCCATTCTTATGAACTTGAAAAGATAACAACAGTATTGAAAACATATGGGCGTTGCATAAGTAGAAAAAAGGAGAATTCATGATAATATTTTCAAACTTTTTGTATTTTAATTTATGACAGCATGGAGACAGCTGCATTTCAAAGATGGTATTGATAAACTGGTAATTCAACTCATTAATCTTTGTATAAACCACTCGATGTATCCATAATCTTTAGATCTTTGAATATAATAAAATATTTCGGCAAAGGTATTATCATCACCGCAAAAATATGAAATATAATTTTTTTACAACACTTAATAATTAAGAATTAGCTTTTCTAATAACTCTTAAAATAACTTAACGGTCCGTTGTAACCGACATTTCTGGAAAAAAGGCTAATGTATACGTTGTAATTGACATTTCTGGAAAAAAGGCCGATGTATACGTGGAAACCGACATTTTCCAACCCTGGACGTTCAAGGCCTCATTGTCCGCGTAATATGCATAAGAGTACATAATAACATGGAAATGCACATGACGTCAATTACAATGATTTTATTCATGAGCATCTTGAATGGTGGCATTTGAATGCCATCATCCCACGTTGTTTTATGCCCATATAATAGTACTATCGCCTCGTGAATGCGAGGGAGCACTTAGCGGTTAGCTTTTACGCTTATGCCATTGCCACAAGCTGGCTTACATCTTTTTGTATTTGGCCCAGGCACCATCACTCGCTTGCGTTCCATTCTGGGTTTTCGAAGAAGTTAAATAATATTATTGTTATTTTTAAAAAAATACAGCAGCTACATACGTAAACTTGATCATTAATTAACGATGTACATTCGTATATCAATGCTATCTTAAAAACTCGGCAGCATTTGCTGCTGTTCTCTAAAAAACTCCATTGGCAAAAATAAACAAAACAGGCGCGATCAGTTTTTTGTTGCAACCTTGATCGCTCGTCACTAAGGTCATAAACTAACTATCGATTTTATTTATTTTTTAACGTTTAAGATACAGCCGAAGAGAAGTATTTAAGTTTGGTGCAGTGACGAAGTAAAACTAATTTTTTTAAATATTGATATACACAAATCGCTAAATACCTATTGCGTGTCCACTGTCAATAAAGCTGTCAACCGGCTATTATTTATACAGTAATGTGTTACTCCATATAACCTTCTGGGTGTTTTTGTTGGCAGACGGTACAGAAACGCAGCTTCCTCGGCGATATTCCGCCATGGATGAAGCTGTCCTTAAACATGCGTGCCGATGTCCCGGATGCGCCGGAAGCCGATGCTGTCCCGGTTATCAGTGTATCCAACGATGAAGGTGTGTTTTGTTTATCGCTTTTGTGTAAACTACACTAAATCACCGCTGTACATGTTTGTGACTGTCCGTATTATTACAGCACCCGCTCAACCGCAACCCCCCGCTGCGCTGACACCCTACATCCGTCCGCGTAACCAGTGCTTTTTCCACACCGTCTCCTGCTTCGGTCGGCGTCCCTCGCGGCTCTTTCCCACGGCCACGCCCAGCTCGCTGCGCCTCCTCGTCAACAGCGGACGGCGCTGAAGGAATCAATAATTAAAAGAACCCTGCACTTTTATTTTGCTTAGCTTTATTCACCGCTTCCCGTAATAAAATTTCTCATGGCGAATACTGTGCACTTTTAACAAGGTTGTGGCATAATTGTAAAAACTGCTTTTCAGGCACCCGGTTATTATAAAAATAGGAGAACACTACAGAAAGTCATTAAACTTGTCGGTTCGGCAGTTTTTCCAACCAGGACGTTAACATTCCACCGCGGCCCTGCAAAACATTAAGTCATATGACCTTACCGGGCAAGAGTAACTGGTTAATAATACTGATTTTGGTTGCTTTTTTTAATTCTTAATTGTGCAATGCTGGCCGTAGTTAACTGACTTACGACTGTAATGTCGCGATTTGAAAATCAATAAACCACGATCATTTTATCCACTAAACCGTAAAAACCATGTACAGTACTAGCTTGTCCAGTAATTCTATCGTAACGGTACAAGTACTGATCGCACGTATATTGCGCTATGAACGATTGCCACTCCACTACGTCTACCACAATAACAAACTCATTTCTCCCAAGATTAGAGATACCTAATCATAAAAGAGAAAAGCTAACAATTTATATCGATAGTTTATAACTTAGATCGTTATTCGGTATGCACCTCCCATGTCAAATGCATGTAGAGCGTAAAAAGTGTAGCGTAGCGCGCCGTAGCATGGAGTTTGGCGTAACCCGTGAATGTGCTATTTGTCGCTGTGTTAATGCGATAGAAATTACCGGATCTGCTTGTACGATTACGTTTGCGTGGAGGTTAGTACTAACGATTAGAAAAACATTCAGCTTACCTTGATTAAAGTATATCCCCGGCTAATAAAAAGAAAATCCTCATCCACGTCAATGAACCCGGTCGTGGAAACCGACACTTGGATACGGCCGGGATGGCCGTGACAGGCCAGTCGGGCTGCCACGTTGACCGTATCGCCGAAACTGAAAGGTGGAACACATAAGCTACGTTAATTATTTAACGTCGTTATTCTATACGTCAACAATTTCTAATTTTTAACCCACAGTATTATAGCAGCTTACAGGCAGTAACGCGGCCGTTTCACTCCCACGATTCCCGCCACACAGGCTCCTGTAATTAAATTTCACTGTGGTTTATCGTTAATCGCATCTGTTTTCAAGCGTTTGCCGTTGACGCTAAAGCTGTGTCGTGCGTTACGCAGAAATTAATTTCGCCGAAACGGAAAAAAAGCCTTTATTAAAAAGGAGACATCGAGGTAGTCATGACATCAATGATTAGAATCAAGTCGCATTTGCGTCGTCCTACCGGAATTGATACCGGCCATGACGTCCAGCCGGTTGCCGGCTTTTAGCGGCTCAAAGACACTGACGAGCGCCAAGGCCATGGCGCAGATTTCCCTGGCGTGCTTTGTTCCATTGCGCTCCGGAACACCACTTACCACCTACACAATACAGGACCACGTAGTACATTGCTCCCTTATTTCCGCTCGGTGCGGAATCCTACGCTGAGTACAGACCATGTAGCAATCTCCCACAGTCTCCATTTTGTAGACATGGTAGTCGTTAGTCACTTGGTCGAACCGGCGGAACATCTCGTTCAGTGTGGCGAAGACGGCCAGCGGGAAGCTGTTGGACACGAACTCGTTGAACCCATACAGGTGGCTGAAGTACACCGTGCAGTCGTCGAAGGATTCGGGATAGATATCCAGATCGTATGCTAGTCGGCTCACAATCGCACTGTAGGAAACAAGCCTTGTACGCCACAAACAGATGTTCTGCGTGTACAACTTTTTAATGCATTGTTAAGTGTCATGACCTTAGACCTACTTTTCCCTGGAAAGCCCATCAAAAAATTTAAAATTACGTATGTTTTGGATGCTGGTTTATTTCACGCATTAAAGAACGAATCGGGGAAACAATTTCGAAGCTTAATTTTCGCAAGATACATGGAAACCTGCGACTTTGAACACTTGCGTAAACTGAACACCCGCGCACACTGAACGTTTGTATTGGAACCGGGGCGTCTCGTAGACTGTTAAAGTGGTTCTGTACATTGAACAAGCGTCTACATTGTACAACATTACAGTAATTCGTACTCGTAGTGTCACTGTCACAATGAAATAAATGAAAAAGAATTATGCTCACCGAGTCAGTAGCTATATTTAGTTAGTAATTAGTAACATATTTAATTTATTTAGTTGTTGATATAGTAGTTGTATTAAGATAGAAATTAGTTAGTTACTACTACCATCTACATTTGGTTCATAGCTCTTTCACGCTTTAAGTTATACTACAACGAAAAACCCAGTAAAACGGGAAACTACATCAGTTTACCGTGGCAGCATTTCCAGTAAAAGCGTCTCACAGGTCTTCTTCTCCTTCAGCAGATGATACGTCCGATCCTGCACGGCATTCTCCAGCTGCTGCGCCCGCATCTGCAGCCGATGGACCATCTGCACTAAATACCCTTCCTGATGCCCGCTGCACACCTCGGCCAGCTCCGTCCGCACCTGTCGATGCGACGTCTGTAACGAGGTAGTACACTGCCCAGCGATTTCACGTAACCGCCGCAACCGCTGCTCAATCCCCGGATCCCGCTGGCAATGGGCCACGATATCCTCGATCACCAAGCCGAAAGCGTGTAGGTCAATGTTGTTGTTGACCATCCGCTGAATGTCGACGATAAAGGGCTGGAAGGTAGTGAAGGTAGTGGTGGCCAGAGCGCGGGCCAGGAACGACTCGTTCTTAACGGCGACGTGGGCCAGCGAGGAAAAGCGCTGGTAGGCGACGCGGGTGTAGCCCAGCTGGGAGATTTTGACAGTGAGACGGGAATCCAGGAGGCAGTTGGAGAGGGTCAGGCTGCCGTGGTAGCGAAGCGGCGAATGGTGGATAGCCCAGATTCCCTACATTACATCCGAAGTTTTTCCATCAACAAAAAACCGTGCTTGACCTTTTCTACTTAGTGCAAAAGCGAATTTAAGTTGCGGTTCCATATAACTTAATGTTAATGTTTCCACACCGTACAATCGCGATTCTATAGCACAAAGTACTGTAATGTCGCAGGCATAGATTGCATAATCATAAACTCAAACGGGTTTAGCAAAAAGGTCACTATTGCAGTGTTTGGCACAGTACAGCATGCCATATAAACAACGGAAAAGCCGAAAAGCCACAAAAGGAATTCCTTAAATACCAAAAGGTGTTGGTAAAATAATGGTTTTGTCGAAATGCTGATTTACAACAAGTATAAAGTACTCTTTCTGAAATACCTCCATGATGTCTGTAACAAACGACTCCACTAACTCCCATTCCAGCTGAATGGATGTTGTGGATAGGAAGTTTTCTAGTGATCCGCGACAACAGTGCTCACTGACGAGGTACACGAAGCCGCCTTCGATAAAGGCGCCGAAGAACTGGCAGATGTTGGTGTGTAACAGGCATTTCATCTGCAATAATCCCAGAAACCGTCGCACCACTTTCGCAGTTCAGATGTCGGTGTGACTGAATAGGACACATGCGTACGGTTTTCAGTTGTTCCCGAGTCTTCAAGCACAGTGCCCGTTTGGACTCGGGATGGCACTGGGCCAGTTTGATTGTTGCCACGTCGACCAGCTGGTTGCGGTAGATCAGGGGCTGTGGATTATCCTATTATTATAATAAGCCGATTTTGATGTCTGCACGCTAACAACGAAGCAGTTACTTTATTATTACGAACTTCATGAAGATCGAGTTCCGGTGATGTACATAGAATCCCTGGAACACCCTAAAAAAACGGTATATCAGCACTAATTCTGCATTCAGTGGTGGGAAGAAATCGACTGAAGACATAAAGCCAAAAAAAGTTTAGAAACCTAAGAAACCTTAGAAAACATAATAAAACCAAGAACCTGAAAAAGTCCTAGAAATCTTCAAGAAACCAAAGAAATTTAACAAAACGACTTCGTGACGGTTTGACATCGTGACGGTTTGACAATGACCTAAGAAATCTTAGAAAACCTAAGAAAATCAAGGACCTGAAAAAGTCCTAGAAAACTTCAGGAAACCAAAGAAGTTTAACAAAACGCCTTCGTGACGGTTTGGCATCGTGTTCGTTCGACTTAGTGGCGGTAGAAAAATTTGCGTCAACAAAATCACGACGTCAATTTTCATGAAGTCGGTGGTGGCAACAAACCTTGCGATTTTCCGGCAGCCCAGTACACATGCCGTGTTCGCGGGCACGCAGCAGGCTCTTGTCGATCATCCATCCTTCGCTGCGCAGGTCGATGCTGCACATCAAACGCCTGACAAAAATAGCCGCAGGGTATACTTATTATCCAGCGCATGGCTAACCCGACAATGTCACCTTGTGATCACCGCAAACACCACGGCACAACCCACCGCCACGACCGACAGAACGGCTGCCAAGATCCACGTCAGGCCTGCAACGATAATTGCGCGCAGTCAATATTGCGCCCAAGGTAGAGATTGGTTTTCGCTTGACCGAATACACGTTCGGCTTACTGGCTGTGGTGTTGCCGCAGGATGAGCAGAACTCGAAGGAAGGCGGTGGAGCGCCGTGTGGCCAGTCGACGGTGATGTTGGCCACCGTGCTAAGCCGCTCCAGGCGGGCATCGTAGTGTAGAACTACCTGCAGACCAAACAGCCCGTTGTAGCGGTTCGTAACTCATCATAATATTACCACCACAGATTCCCCGATATACATATAATCGAATAAAAAATTCGCACTGAGCGAAATTAATACACGTTTGGCAATGACCAAATTAGCGAAAGGGCGGTTTTTGTGGTAAATTAGCCACCAATCATTTGGACTCCATGCATCCCAAAGTGGCGAAATCAACCTTTCATATTAAACTAATTTACCAAACTTTTAAATTTTCTAAATGCAAAGCGAATTTGGAAAGGTAATCACTAAATTGTAAACCGCAGTATAATAACGAAGGAACGAATACATAGAAAATTGTCCACACAGTCATCATTGCAAGTTTACGTTGTAGCAGCTAGTACACATCCACATATACGTATGTACGACAGTACGAGCACTGTACCAGAAATTCCCCGGTGTTCACATCCAAATCGTACAGGCACATATTGCTGCGGGACTGCCCGTTACTGCCCAGGTACACGTCGCCGGTGGATGTGTGAAACGTGCGATTAAGAAACTGCCCGGCCACTGCCGCTCCGTCGGCAATGCCGGTGCCGTACGCCAGCCGTTCTCTGATCACCTGAAATGACAGTTATTTTTCCAATAGCCTACATAAAGTGATACGCTAGGCAATTAAAGTACTTATATACTGTCATCATCTATGCAGTACCTGTCGGTAAATCTCCATGACTGCGTAGGTATTCTGGACGGCTTCATTTGGCTGCAGCGGAAATATAGAAACGGAATTAGAGGATGCGGGTCACGTAACCGATATCCACGGAAATAGTTTTCTAATGTCACAGAGGCATGCTATTTTACCTTATTATCCAGGGGAAAATATGTCACGCCGTAGTGGAACTGTGTAATATTGGTCAGGTAACGGAGGAACGCATCGGTCGGGCTGCTGCCCAGTGGACAGAAGCGGATGTCGAAGAGACTGCGGTATGCTTCGCGTGCGCTCTGTGGTATTAATTAATTGCCGATCAGACTCGTATGTATTCAAAAACCATGGCTTTTATACGAACCGTGTCGTGCTCGTCATTGTCCTTCCAGTGAACAATACCGCTCAGGTTGCTAATGATCACATTGCCCGCCAAGAAAACCTTTTGTGGAAGAAACAGTAGTAAATCTAATACGGTAATATTAATTGCCCATTAAAATTGTTCGATATCACTGGCTTTTATCGAATACCTACGTATTCTCCATTGGTCATGCTGAGATCTTTAGCGGCCAACTGCAAACAGCAGGCGAATAAAAAGCTGATAACTCCGCCACCAAACATTTCAATTCTTACCATCATGGTGCGCACCAGAGACGCATTGAGCGAGAGAAAAATCACTGCAGAAACAGTAAGTTAACGCATCTGTAAACGGACCCACCAGGACGCCACAATTGTCAACCTGACCTCGCACCCGGCTGCGGATACCTTTGAGCTGGGTGACCGGATCGAAGTTGGCCGCCGAGGAATTGAAGGGTACCGGTAGGACTTCCAGGGGCCAGGTTTTCGTCTGCATCTCCCATTTAAGGAACTCCACGGCGTCGAAATAGGAGGTGAGACCCTGCGTGTCGTACAGCGCCGCCAACGCGTGCCATCGGTAGTACAGCGCGAACGTCCGCACTGCCTGGGCGATCACGCCCGACTGCATGGCTGAGACGCTGATGTACGTGGGATAATGCCGGCGACTGCGCAACTCCAGATACGACATGCTCCTGTCAATATAATTCATAGACCAATTTGCATTACAATCTAAGGGCTGTACCGGAAATGCTTACGTGCCGATCATGAGGACATTCCACTCTACAACAGCAGCCATTAACTATTACTGCATCAGTTAGATTATTTGAATGTTTTAGGTGAAAAGTATTCCAGTTTTGAACATACCTCGCGCCAGTTTGGCTAGATCAAACGCATCTCCACAGCCTATCAAATAATCTAGTAGAGGTGCAATATTTCGATGTACAATGCTTACAATACAAGTACAATATTTCCAGAAAATTCTGTTCAAATCAAAGCATACAGTAAACGTTGATTATGCGACACATGTCGCGCACAAGTCGATTTTGTGAGTGACGGCAAAAAAGGCGATTTTATCGTGCGCGTTTATTTTTGTTCGTCTGATCTGCTAGTCACGTGGTCCGACGGAAACGGAGTAATGTCTTAAATTATATTAATCAGAATTTAATATTACTCGGGATATTTCGGCATTATTACTATGCGCAGTAATCCGGGACTTGATTAAGGAACAAGACGTTACTAATCGTAAGGACGGTACTGCAGTCTGTAACGGCATGATAGTATTTGTTAATAATGAGCTACCACAGACCTGGCGTTATCATAGTCATAATGTTATTGTCATCCCATACATTCCGATAATAATAATCCGCCACCAGCTGCACGTTGGCGCCCGCATCATAACAGTCGCGAATGGAGGTGTCCGTCAGGATAACATAATGAAACTGCACTAACTCCTGCGACGCATTGTACGCGGAGCCTAACCGCTTTTGCGCGATATCCAGCCCAATCACGGTATTATTCACGTTGGTCCTGGTAAGATTTTTTAAATGTCCGTAACTGACAATCGTAACATTAATCGCGGATATGGACAAAACTTGCGCGCCGATCAGGACAATGTAGGAGAACATTTCGGCGTCGACCGCATCTGTGCGACAAGCAGGATCTCTCCGTTGCAGAAATTATTAATAAAGCCCTCGAGCTATGTTATAACTCCGGGAATTCTGAAGACAACGGTTGATGCGGCAGCGTGGAAATACGCTGCAAATAGAACCGACGCGGCATCATTACCGGAAGCTCCAGGAGGAAGATGCGCGCTTGTTATTCGCGGTATACGCGCAAATTACACGGGACGACAGCGGCTGTGGCGCCGGAACTCGGGAGCATGTGGTGTGTCATTAGCAGATTAAATTAACAGCGGTGTATGCACCAGCGGACTGCAAATTAATACCGCTTTGTAGCTCTGGATTTGGAAATTAACTGTAAATTAACCGTGAATTGCGTAGTAATATCTAGGCCATTTGCTTGTTGTACGGTATTAAGCGTGGCAGTAAGTATAATTATCGCTGAACTATTTGCATCAGTTCTTTTTGATGTGTCAGTATATTCTGGATGGAACTGTTGAGAAACGATTCCTAATTAAGATGAAAGAAATACTGATAAACTCAAGAGTTAAGGCCATGGCTAGTTTGGCTTTATTCAGATGAAGAAGGTCGGTTTTTTAAGTTTTTTGAAATCGTATTTTCTTTCTTGATACTTCGTTATATCCAGTTTAAATTGAGAAAAATTCACAACTTAAAACCGGAAAGATCGGCTTTAAACACACAGTTTAAAATGTGAATTGAATAAATCACGCTCAAAAATTAACTAGTCTTCAGGCAACCATACAGAATTTTAGATAGACCACCCAAAAAATCGTAAACATAGTCCTCCTGCACCTTGCGAGGGCTTTTTTTGAAAATAATTTTTTAAACTTCACAAACTTAAAAAAACACATTTAGGGTTTCGATTTTCGTAAATAACTTGAGTAAAAACAATTTTTTTCAAAATCGCTCTCGCAATTATACTTTTAAGGTATTTCTACACCCAATGCATCAAGTTTCAAAATTACGTTAGATCACCTGAATTAGGAGTTAGTTTTCAAACTTTATCTGGTGCATTTTGAACGGTAGCCTTCGAAAGTTCACGCAAGTTTACATCACTCATGGGCATGTTGACTGTTTCAGCCCACCACACATATCATACCATAGTGACTATCCAGACAGCCATTGCCCGCTTCTTACCACACTTGAGTGTGATCAAAATCTATTGTCTTTCGGTGTTTGCTTTGATTCCGCTGACCAGTGCTCTGTTTTATGGCTGGCAGTAGAACAAAAGATGCGTATCCCGATTCTGTGCTCTCCATTGATTTCATCGCAGGTGCGCTAACTTGCATATGCGTTCGCAGTGGTGAGCCGGGCCAGTCACTGCTAGCATCGTTACTCAGTTTAGGCAGCTAACTTAAAAAATTTATATTTCATAACCCTGGAATTTTATCACTTCAATGTTTTTACCATCGGATAGAGCAGTCTTCAATCTGTAAAGCGCCTTTCTTTTGCAAAATGGCCTATGAGGAATAAAGCCGGACTAGCCATGGCCTTAAGGTGAATTTCTACTCAAATAAGTCCGTTTTTAATTATACAGAAACCGATAGAGAAATCATTTCTCTATCCGCCGATGTAATTATGGTCTTTAGTGCAAAAAAATCGCACAAAAGTAGACAATTAAAATTCTTTTAGGCCTGATGTTTTTGGCAAAACTTTTATTAGTGCGCAACACAGTAAAGTTCAATGTTTTGAGCACTGAAAACAGTAACGTAAAAAAACTGTTTACGAGTCCGCAGTGGTGTTTTTTTTCTCGCAAGAGGGGTGCAAACGAGTAGAAACTCAGCTTAATTTGATGCGTAAAAAATGATGAATTAAGCTTTTGACGGTAAAATGAAATAATCTAACACTTTGTAAATCTTAGTTGTAAAACTATTACTGCATGGTTGTGGAAGCTCATTTGTCGGCAGTACTCAATGCACAGTACTCACGATCAATACATGTATCGTTACTGTACAATAATTATGGTTACTGTGCGAACGTTTGATATACAATACGAGCGAATTGATTGTTGTGATCAACACAATGAATCCATCACATTAACCTTGTGAAGAACATATATAAAGATTTACTGTTCAAGAAATCGAAAAAATGGAAATATGCGCGGTACAGCTGTGTATTGAGCAAGAAAATGATTAACGGCAAATTCGCAAACAGACGTTGCGGAAGTCAGGTGTAATGTTCATGAAACAATTTCGTCATGCGATGCATAGAATCGCAGGTATACCAAAATGACCGGGTAAGTGTAATTGCAGCGGATGACCTTTCCCCCGGGGATCGGTCGCTTACTCCCGTCTCGACACACTCCATCTTAGCTCGACTGGATTTTATATATATATATATATACAAATCATCTGGCTACACGATGTCGTAAAACAGCGTAAGTAAATGTTTTGGAGTGCGCGAAAGCGAATATTTCCCTGTTTGCACAAGTCCGATGGTTCGGTTTTTTCCGAAAAGATACAGCGATCCATAGAGATTCACAGGTTACGGAATACGGCGTAACGATAAGCTTCATACCACGGCCCTTCACTCCACAATCTTTTGCGCGCTACATGCTTTTAGCATCATGCCTGGTGCACGTCAAATATACATATCGTAGAAAACTATCGTCAATTCGAAAATCAATCAAGCTGATTTATTTGTCGTAATAATTCACTGTATGGTGTTTTTATTTCGACAACAGCCAGTGTACAATTGTACATAACACGATGCCTGCGCGGATTTACACTAATAACAGTTATCAAATTTAAACTTTAAAAAAACATCCGAAATCGTTAAAGCCACTCGTGGCCTTTGGATGTGCGGGCAGTGTACCAAAAACAGCTGCTGCATTTCCACGGACTACAGCTAGACTGAACCGTTGTCTTAAAAAGGCGGTAGATCGAGGTTCCCCGGTAACTTCACGGATCTTTCTGCCGACAAAACTGATCAGTTCGGCGAATGGCGTGCCGAAAGTCCCGAACGTCTCGACTGCCAAGGGGTAAAATAGATATCCAGATCTTCGATGAAATCGCATGTCCGGCGCCTGCTTGCTTCCGCCAGTTGTGCTACACTTCCCGCTTTCTTCGAGCTGGCATGCACATGGGACACCGCCACTGTACTGTATTGCTTTAAATGTAGTGTAGTCGTTGTTTCCAGCATCGCGCTTGGCAAGTACTATGTACCTGTATCTGACGCAGGAACGTAGTCATCCTTCTTGTACAATACACGGATGTTTTGCGATGTAGGTATGTGCCGGTAATTTGTCTTGCAAAACTCGATTACAGGTACAGTAGCATTATGAGAGTGTTATTACGTACGAGATACATCATTGCTCGTACATCTGCGATTCGTACGTGGTACATTCGGTATACAGAGATAAAATGGTACGAGGAAAAAGGAGACTGCAAAATAATGTAGCGGACTATGGAATCATCGCTAATGACACATTCATATTTCCCGACCGCATTCAATGCTGTTACATATTTTTCTTCACAAAAGGCACATCAAGAATGAACCCGCACATCAATACAATTACTGCAGTACAGAGTGATAAATATAGTTCGACACGATAACTTTTTTACGTAGAAAAACACTTGAGAGCGTACAGTACAAAGAGGAACACCAACCCCGGGTTTCGGCTAAAGAGTACAATTTGTGTCTCCGCTTGCGGCCACAAACGAAATACATAAGGCAAAATTAATTCTGTACAGATATAATTTCCTGTGTAAAAAGTCTGCGTTTCTCCTCTATCGTCACATGCGCGCCAGCGGATTCTGCGCGAAGAGAACACCTTGATACATGATGCCGTTAATCTCCATACTGATCACCAGTGAACCGTCCATACTCCGTCCATCCCCTAAAAACGACGACAACAAACGTAAAGCATAATCAAATTATTATTTTTATAATACCATTACAATTACCATCGTTACAGAATTGGAATTTTTAACGCTGTACAAATGTAGTGTACGCACGTACAGTATTACGGACTGTACCTATTGTCATATAGCAATGATTGTTATTGTGATACTTCTTACTTGTTGTTATTAGCAGCTACAAGTGTATCATTCAGTTTCGATTATACTAACGTATGGTTAATCAACAAATGTTATATTAACTAGAATAATGAAAGACTTCCCAAAAAGGTACGATTGAGAAAAATCGTAAGCATGTGATAGTCTTACCCCGGCTGGTGATTTTTAAATGCGCGGAGGGCAAACCGGTATGCATCATGGGAAAGGGCGCCCTGAGTTCCTCCTCAATGCCGTTCTTCGGCCGTTTATTCGCCGGGACCGACAACGGCGACGGGGAGCGCCGCGAGCGCTCATGGAGATTATTCCGTTCGCGGTCCCGCTCACGATCCCGTCCTCGGTCACGGTCACTGTGACGGCGGGAGTGGCTGTGATTGCGGTGGGTGTCGCGGTCCCGCTCCCGCGGACGTTCGCGCTCATGACTGGAAGCGCGGGACGACGAGCGGCTTTCCGCGTCGGATTCTACAAAGATCGATGTAATTTTACACTGAGTCGCTGTGTACAGTTAAGCTCGAGTGTGGTCGGGAACGTTATCGTACCTGAACAGTGTCCGCGTTTGCTGTGCTGGTGCGGGAACATGTGGCCGTGCCCGTTAACCGTGCCGTTCATGGAAGGATGGTGCGGGCGGGCGGGGGCCAGCGCGGGAATCAGCGGCGAGGCGGTGGGTGGCATGGCCGGCGGGGTGAAGCCCTCCGGGCCCGGGGAGCCGAAGTGGTGGCCGGTGCGGCGACCCTCGCGGCGGTTGCCGTCAATGGCGGACTGCAGTTCGTCGGGGGCGCTCAGGTTGAGCCGGTCGCATTCATAGGGATAGAGGTATTTCATATACCTGCAAAAACACATGTTAGTACTGCGATTTATTTAATCATCGAGGTCCCCGTTCAATGAAACCAAAATTCCATCTGACAAAACTTTGTTCTTATCGTTATTAAATTATTTATTCGTACTAAGTGATGTATTACACACAGAAGTAAGATGAATAGAATACGAGACACAAGATACTCACTGTGTGCGCAGTGTGAAGGCGGCGCTCGTTATGGAAGACGGCAGATTGAGGCCTTTGGTGATCTCCCGCCAAATCTTTTTGTTAATCACCTCCACCAGACCGCCCTTCTGCGTGACGAGACGGTAGAGCTCGTAGAGGTCCAGCGTCTGTTTGGCCATAATGGGAATTCGGTTAACCGGTGTGCCTAGATAAAAAAGTTCTTATTACATTGCAGCTGTATTTTTCACACTACACTGTTAACGGAAATGACGTTTAATCGTCATCAGATTGAGTGGATTGTACGAACTACATGAAGTTCATATGTTAATCCATCGCCGGGAAAATGCACAAGAATTCCGCTGCGCAATGAAAGAGGCCACAAAGGTCACTACATATTCAGCGGAAACACACACAGTCATTGAGCGGAGTGCACTTGAGGATTGTGCATTAAACCTCAACGTGTACATATGATGGAATGCTGCATTAGCATCGAGTGCGGTTTATTCTTATAATATTATACGAGAACCTCCGTATATCGCCATCATCTCAACGAGCGCGCGTTGTGCTCGGCATGGGAGAGGAGCGCACAAGATGGCCTGCGTGAGACGGCCACTTGAGAATCAAATCATAACCGAGCGATTATGCCGCGGAATTAAGTGCGAATATATAAACGGCGCTTGATAGCTGCGTTCGCGGCCGGGAAATGCTGCTGCGGCACAACACGCTGCTTGGCGCGCTGGAATATGCAGCCTACTTCACCCACCGAACATGTCAGATCGGCCATTTTTGTAAACACTCGGATGTAGAGCGGAATCGTTGTGCCACTGTCCGAGTGCCTTCACAATTTACATTATGACAGTATTATACGCGCACCTCTTTCCTTCTTGTAGTGCGATTAGACAAATATTAAATTTTTAATCCAGCCTAGAAAAAGCGCCGGGGAAAATTAATTTTTTGAAAAGCGTGGTTTTAATAACTATTTATAAATTTTATTAATAAGTACTGATTTATTTATCATTAAATTCGGCTACAGTAATACTGAAATTAAGAAATCCTGTAACAAAATTTTTGTTTAATGCTGTTGGTATCTGCAACCGTTTTTCAAAAGAGGGATAAACAAAACAGATATTAAAAAATTTTATTCGCCGAAGAATGGTTTTTCTTGTAGGATAAAAATTCCATATAATATTTTTCATATTATGAATTTTTCGCGACCGGAACATTAGTAAAGTAAGCTTTCTAAACGCTGCCAGATAAACTGTCAAATGCATGTATATATGTGTATAAAATCTCGGCAACTTCCTGCTACGTCGACTGGTAAGTGTAGCAATTTTGGCAGTTCATGTGTAATGTCAGTTTCCCTGAAGCGCTGTGTTTATTTCATCTGACAAGTCCATAAAAAATTTCCCCCTCTCATATTACTGTCCATACATCAGCATCCATCCGGCCCGAGTACAGTTGGGGCCGGCGGAAATGCTCCACGGTTATATTCCCGCTTGCTGACTGCCGACTAACACATCGGCCATAAATTTACAGCCCCACACACTCGCAACGGCGACGTCTTTTAGCACAAGGACACATTTGGCAATTAATCATCATCAGATGAATATTACGCGCCGCAACCGACTTATATATAGCCACACATACCGCGGCCCTAATCCCCCCTCGTCATCATTCCGGATCAACGTCATTTACCCGGCCAGTAACATGTTTTCGTGAGTACGAGGAAACCGGCGTTCCACGGGACACCGGCTTTTGGCGGAACCGTATTCCGGTCACCCCTTGTTAGAACCCTATAGCGCGTTTTTTATTGAACTTATTTTCGGACCCTTTTTCACACAACGGCCGTACAAAATCAGGCGCAATAAAAAAGTATTATAAATATTTTTCCCCGAGTGCCAAATATGCGCTCTGCACTCGTCCGCTCCAATCATTCATCACACGATAACAAACATGACGCCACTGGATGGCCAAAGAAATGAACGCCACTAAATGCCGATAAAACACCCTGCCGCGGCCTTTTGATAATTCTCCATGCCGCACTTTTAATTGCGCGGGGTTAATGATTGCCGGGTGTATTTATATACTGCGTACATCTTTGCCGCACCGTATCGTGTTACGTCTGCTGCACGATTCCAATGGATTTCTTCCACGAATGTAATCGCAGTTAAATGGCGGCATGTATCAAATAATGTCAAGCGGATTAGTATCTCTCTGATTGTTAGTTATTTTCTTTGTCGCGTCAATGAATCTGGCTCATGTTTTTCTTGGCTCCGAATTCACCAACGTCTTAATAAAATAAAATCCGGTCAAAAGAAAATAAAGTCCATTAAATGATATTATAATTTACATCACGTAGCAAATATTCTGCATTGCAAAACTGAACAAAACGATATAAAGTTTAATTAATTTTTAAGTGATTACTTCCAACAATATGCAAGGTTTTTGCTGCTACAGAAAATAATTTTAATTTTTAAAATTAAATAAAAATTTTTAGGAGGGAGTTTATTAAAACCATTTCAGAAGATATGCAGCTTCTAATGTTTCAAGAAATGATTTTGCAATGTTTATCGAAAAGTTTTCTTCACAAAAAAAATAAATCTGATGGGCGAAAGTTTATAGGTTACATAAATAATCGCTGATTATTTATTTTGGAAACATTGTGGCGGATTTGTAGCTGTTGACGGTATTGAGCAGCGACAGCTGTCGGCATTTTTCGCCACGGTAAATTACCCGCTCCCAGACCTTAATTTCTAAGTAGAGCCAAAAGAAATCTCCGTATTGGCTAATCACACGACTACCGCATTAAATTCCACATTGTACCGCGAACGTTTTACGTCAGCGCGCCAAGCGCCACTGACAAAAAAACGAGCGACTCCAAATTGTTGATGTCAGCCGCGCGGCTCAACAAGATGTATGATTGCTGTGGTGATCCTTGATGCCACAACAAATGAGCAGGGAAACGCCCAAATATGCCAGTGTGGCTAATAAATTACACGCCACTTCATTCCCGACCTGACGCCCATAAATCTCATCTAGTTCCACCCGGCGTGTTGCTTTTCTAAATCTTTATTATAACGTCTTATTATCTGAGCTGAATTTATTATTTACAGTATCGGTTGTTTTTAATATTTATAATTGCAAAATATAACCTGTTAATACATTTTAATTGGTGTTTAATTTATTTTGAAATTTTTAGTAACATTTCTTTTTCAATTGTTTCCTGCTTTATTCCTTTTTCCCTGTTCCTGTTTTCCACCATTTTCCACCAGCTTCCTGTTTTTTCCTGTTCCTGTTTGTTGCTTTTCTAGATCTTCATTATGACGTCGTATTGTTTGCTGAATTTACCATTTTTTCGGTGTTTGTAATATTTATAATCACTTATTTAATCTATTACTTATTATATTTTAATTTGCACTAATTTATTTTAAATTTTTTATTATGTCTTTTTCGCGTTTTTGCGTTTTCCTGTTTAGTTCCTTGTCGTCGGTAGATAAACGAACGTTTTGAAGTGATTATGCATTTTATGGAAATTTTCTTTGGATTATTGCTGATGCGGGCAGAAATTGGAGGAAAACATAATATTGCAATTGGAGTTTAAAGACGAATAAGTGGCGGTTGAGTCGGTTAGGGTGTCGTAAGCCGCTCGGTGGCATTTCGGTGCATAAGCACTGCGCAGTGGCGTTTTAAATCCGGTAACAAATTCGTTACAAATGAATAATGTGTTTACCCAGCGGCTCACATTAAGCACCGCTCACCACAAGTGGCTTTGTAATTTTGACAAATTTCCGCTCCTTGATCCCTTGTACAAAGTGTGTACACTACGATCCATCACACAAATCTCAACCCGGCAAAAATATTTCCCTTCGAAACTGTATTTGATTTTCTTACATGCCAACATAAAATTGAAAATATTTTCCGGTATTTTTATCACAATACCGCGCCGAAACGCATTAAATCAAAACAATTTTCTGGTAGCGTGAATCGTGCAACATAGGTATAGACTTCTTTTTCCTTCTACGAAAAAACCGTTTCCCATAATTAATCTTCTGTTCACGCCATTTATTGTTCATTTCGTCAGTAATCAACAGGTAAATAAAAATTCAGAAGTACAGTAATAAAATTCAGATTTATTTGGTGGCGTTATTTTAATTTAATTGACTAGCAAAATTTTTTACAGTGCATGAGAAATCGTTGAGAATCCTACAGGGTATTTAAAAATTTTTGCTTTGATCCTTGGCGATTTTGCTAAAGAGGAGATAATGCCATTATACTACAGCGCTGATTTCGGCTATTAAAGTAATAATCGGCAAACCGCTTACGGCGCATAATATTTGTCCAAACATTTAACCGGCACAATTTCACCAACGATGGGCTTAAATATTATGTTGCTCCGTGTGAGCGCTGTATAAAGACGTCTACCTGGCCCAACCGGAGCCATCTGCTTACTGTCCCCGGCGATCTGACAAAATCACACTCACTGCCGCGCGCTAATCGCCTCTGTGCGCCGTTTACGCGAGAGAAGTTAAAAGGCTTTAAATTATTGATATGGGAAAATGCACATGTACAATTGCCGTGTTCGGGCTATAAATAAGCACCTCGTTGACCGGTTTCATTCCGCGGATGTGTATTAAGACGGCTACTTAATAATCTCCGGCGCAATACAGTGTCTGTATGAAAATGCGGCATGTGCTGCATTATTAACGCCGATTCGTTGTGTATAGTCAGTATTTTATGGCTTCCGTCGTTCTCGTTGTTCAGTGATTAAAGAGAAAAAAAAGCCCCGCATAAAGAACGGTTGTGTGCGGTTATTAAGTGCTGCTTACCTCGTTTCTGCATGAAACTGAACAGATCGTCCAGGAAGGCGCGCCGTTTTGGATCGTCGCTTAATTCATACAGCTGAAAATAGAAAAAAAAACCGCGATGAATGAGACGGTCATTAAAAATGAATGGCGGAGGCATTAAAAATTTATTAAAAATCATTTGACGCATAAGACCCAAACGAGGCATCAACGGCCTACTTATTTATATTTTTTGCTTTAATTTAGCAATTTTATTAGCGTCGTTGTAACAACCGCAGTGTCACGGGAAAAAAATCAATTGCCGCTTTTCGTAATATGAAAGTGAATTAATTCATCTTTACTGCGTCTTCTTCAACGAAAACGGATAAAGCCGTAAAGAAGGAAATTTTCTGATAAAAAATACAGAAGTTCTATGACACACCGATGTATTTTTTCGAAATTATTTTTCCATACTTTATTATATTTTTTGGCAATTAATCGCAATTAAGGCGATGCTTAATTCGTTCAGATTTGTTATATACGCGCACGTGATTCCAAACTTTTGATCGTTTCCACTTCTTTCGGTCGAGACTCTTACAGACTCTGATATTTTGTCCCAAAAGAAACCTGCGCAGTTAAGGATGATCTCATCGTCGTCCTTTAATGGCTTAATCTTTTGTAGCATTAAGCGCAAGATGCCGTCCTTCGATTTCCCACATATGTGAGCTTTAATTGTCTTTTTCCTAGCACAGGCTCGATTAATTACAGCCGGCGTCGCCAGGCCATTACAACTGTCTGGCGGTATAATGTTAATTCCCAAGCGCTGTGACTATGAGTATTGGATTGATAGCCTAATTCGTCGCTGCTCTCTGCCGAATCTATCCACCTGGCATGGCAATTAATTGCTCTCGCTACAGTCTTACATTCCGCGAAACGAAAGAGAAATCGAGACACAGAGAGCAGCACATTAAGCCTCCACTCTCGTAGCCCAATTAATCCGTCCAGAAAAAGGAATTATATTCTCCCTTCAATCGGGCGAAACAGAGAGGCGCCAGCGCCCCCGAACACCGGCTAATTACACTCAACGCAGCTATTCTTCTCCGGTGTGTCCTTAGCAGCTTTCTTCGTGTCCTGAGCGAAGAAAGGGAAAACGGCATTCTTGTCGTTTACCTGAGCGATTATCAAAGAGTGCAGCATATGTGGAATCTAATCTACCTGATGAGAACATGTATTAAATCTCTGAGCGCGCTTGTGTGTGCCCAATTAACCTAGTGAGAGCGGCGCTGAGGACAGCCGATGGCTGCTTCCGTGCAATTATCGGAAAGGTAGAAAATGGCTACTCTATCAAGGAAGCAGCAGCCAGACAAAGAACACACAACGGAACACGGATAGTTATCCTACACTTCATTCGGATGAATGTTTGCTCAGTAGAAGACTCCGCCCCCTTTCGCTCTCCCCGGGAGGCGCAGTACCGGCGTGACCTTTTGTTTACATATCTGTCTGGGAATTGTTCTGTGTTCTGTGCAGCAATGCAGAACAAAACTTTCATTGCTGGCGACACAATTGCCGGATTTTGTCACCATGTTAAACTCTGTTAAACCCTTAAAAAAATTCACAGTGATGGTTAAGCGTATCATATTCGCAAAAAATCAGGCAGTCATTTCTGTTGCACTGTTAGTAAGCTGCGGTAAAATTAACGCTTGATTTGTGGTTATTATTCGTGACTGCAACATTTTTGCCGGGTTTTGAATTTCTCTCTGATTTGAAGATGCGTTTGAATGGTATGTAAATTACATTCCACGATAAGAGATAATTGCAGTCAACCTGTACAGTGTTCCACATTTTTATGCAGAGCAGCAAGCAAGGTGCAGGTCAAACGGTTTGACTGAGGAGTTCATTGGCGATTCATTCCAGTGTGACGCCAGCGCCCCGCCCATCTCTCGCTGCAGAGTGCATAGCATTACTCCGCCGAACAAACAACAGCCCGCTGTTTCGGCCGGGCTATCCAATTACCCACATATTTTCTCTTCCCCCGAATATCTTTCGCACTTTCAAATAAACATCAATGAATCACGATTTAACTGCATGATTAAAATCGGTGTAGCTTTTTTTCACGATCTGGCCAGTTCATTTGTGGGGCGTTGTTAAATGTCTCAAGGTAAGCCACGGCCGGTTGGCAGGCCCGGTGATTTTCCGCTTCACAGCGTCTTTGATCCAACTCATCAACCGGCTGATTATACGCTCGGTGTCGAGGTGCAGTCAACATGTGATGCGGGGGGATGTGCTGGTAACGCGTCGCCCAACACCAACAGAACCCGACCAGCGATTGTCGCCACGGACGGTGTACAATCATGGCGATGGTGTATAATAAATACGCGGGCATCAGCCGCGATCGAGCGAATTAATCGCGGTCTGATTATAGACCGACAAGTGGCCACATTGCCCCCATAAAACCATGCCGGCCATTAGCGCTTCGTGGCTAATCGAGCTTGATGAATATATCAGACCAGTGTCCGATGAATCAACAGTCTCTTTCTCATGCGGCACACTTTCTTAGATTTCTTAGGTTTCTTAGATTTTCCTTTACACCAAAATCACTGCAACGTTTTCCCCGTTTTTTCTGCCCTTTTCCATAACAGCATTAATCTTAAATAATATTCATGTTATATAAAATTTATAAAGTAAATAAATTTTGTGCAGACATTATTTTCAGGATATTTTTGTGGGCGGGCAAATTTCTCCAGATAATTATTATTACCATTTTTTTTATAATTTTTGTTCTTCACCTCATTGACACAATAAAACCCGAGTCTGACACGCAAGCGCCGCGTTGTTCTGGCGTTCTCCCCTCCGTCCTCAGTTTACCGGTGGTAACCGCACAGCATTGTTTGGTCATTCGATGTCGATTGGCCGGTATCGGATTGCGTGGGCCGCCGTGTAAAATCAGCTCTTTGTTGTGCCATACGACACCTTATCTATGTCAGACAATCTGGCTTAGATTGGACCGTATTACACGCTTATACACGGGCGCATACATACAGCATAGAGCGACAGCGCTGTGTGATACAGCGGCTTAAATGGAGCGGTATAAATGACAAGCTGAGCAGATATGTCAGCTTTTACTCTTGTCTCACAACTTACTCAAACACTCGAGAAACACAGAGAGTCACACGGAGGGACAGACTGCCATCGGGTGGGTAATAATTTTTGCAGTCGTTGGCTAGAAGGACGATTGATTTGATCGGCTACTGCGAGACATGGACAACAAAAGACTTCATAAATCCCCCATCAAACTACCTGGTGACTGCGACATGCATTTAATCAAGCACATTCCAGCCCGGTAATGATTTTCGATTAATGACAACGCCCCACAATGCGGCGCGTCTAATAAAACCCGAATTCCGTTGTCGTCATGATGAAAGCCACTATTAAACGGCATTTTGCAAGCGCTACTTGGACAATCAAGTGGACAGCGCAAGACAAACAGTTGACGCATCATAATTTGCGTCCGCTAACGAACCTGCCAAGCACAGCGATATTATGTGATGCCGTTTGAGCAAACACCGGCAGCAACAACAACCTGTCCGTGCCGATATTAATCGCTTTAATTTTCACATGTTTCCATCGAAAATGTATATCTGTGTGTGTGTGCACGAGGTGAAAGCATAATTTTGGGGAAAGTGTTTACGTAGACACGATCGGATTTCATCAAGCTCCGATCAAGTGGAGGTTACAATTGGCACGCCGTGGTCACCGTCGTGTTATAGGGAGAAATATATCAGCGTCATGATACACATCATGTTAGATATTGGTGTGTAATGATAAAGTTTCTAAATCTCGTTGAATCGCGAGTGCGCGCAAACGCAGTGTGTATATCATATGTTATAAATAAACAGCAACTGCGTTTGATCGCGCTGTGCTTTGCCTGTGTGTAATTTTAGGTTTTGATAACTGCCAACATATGCGGTCTGATCGAATGCCGTTTAATGCATTTTCCTGGGCTACTACGCTGTGCATTTATGGGCGCGAGAGGAAAATGCGGCCGTCTTTCAGTGCTGCCGGAATATTTTCTCCCTGGCTGCTTTCTTGCACGGCTCATGCTGCTGTAAAATCCTGCCGATCAAGCAGTCAAATTTATCCTTAATCTGCCAACATTTGATATCTATTTCGGTTGCATGTTTTTCTCTAAATTCCATCATAATGTTTCAATATACGAGCGCTTAGGTCAACGACAGCGCGTCTTTCACCACGCACACACACAGTTATAATACACAGCTACACATCATATTCGGCCCGTTTTGATAGCCGTTATGCATTACGCCACATTTCCCCTACCACACATGCCGACGTCATTAAAAGCCAGAATGTTAGCGGCAAATGCACAGCACATGTTTCCAGAAGGATATTCTTCCGCAACATAAATTTAATTGGCAAAATCCCTTAACGACTCAGCGCTATGATGAGCACTTTATACGAACGGTCTTTGTGTGGCGTGTGTTTAAATTCCGCTAATCGGTTGTGGCTTGAAAAGGTTATGGTGTATACGTCGTTCAAGGAAGTTAAAAAGCCCATTGTAAAAACCGGGATCCGACTAAATTTCCCTCTGCCAATTACGCACTGAATAGCAGAATGGGAGAATAAGCAACACGGGTCCCTTTGTCCGTGGACCGGTTTGGCTGTCAATGGGCGTTTAAATTAACCGGGGTGGTCGTGGCTGTATAAACGCCGCAGTTACAGTGATACGCGTTATAAAATATTCAGGAATAAATTGGCCGCGGTCTATTCACCGCCAAGTATCAAGTATGATGGCTCGTTAAGTCATTTATGCCGAGGAGGTGCTTGAATGGCCGAAGGACTTTGACTGGACAATGCGATGCTGCAGTCTTTAAGATATGATATGCAGTTTTAATCATGCCGCTCTCATTCAACACAGCACACACATAACCGAGGCGCTGTTTAACGCTACAGCTCTCCACTCAAAAATCCTGCTCTTTATTTATTCATTTGGCCCATGGATAATTGATTGTTTATCAAACGCACGTTAGCCCTCCCGCACTCTAACAATGCCACCGATAAACTTGTTGTAGCTAGTCTTAACATTGTTCGCGCCACTGGATAATCAGCCGCGGGATCGATTTTAACTCTTAACCGGCTTTTCTGGCATTCAATTCCCAAGTACAATATCTCGGCTGTTTGTGTATTATTCAAGCAGAATCAATACAAATAAAAAATTCTTTCGGCAAATATAAAAAACTACTTCCTTGATACAGCTGAATAAAATCTTCACATTCAAAAATAACACTGCTTAGTTTATATATAAAATAACCACAGAACACCACAATTTTCCGATGCGGAATAATTTTTAAATTATGAAATTCTACGTGGGATTATGGAAAAATGTTTGAATTCTTATTGGTTGGGCGTACCTGTTTAAACTGTTCCTCATAGGACCAGGACGCCGACGGGGCATGTCCGGGCGAGATACGGCCAATGGAGGGTGAGCGTTGGCGCGGCGGTGTCCGGGAGTCGGAATGCGATCCCTCCGAGTTGCGCGCCGACACACTCAGATCCTGCGGTGTGTTCTCCGGCGAATAGGGCGCCGCATCCGTGGTGTGGTCTTTGTAGGGTTTGTGCAGGGTGAAGTGGCGCTGGAAGCGCTCCATGTCCAGCGGCACCACATTGCCGGCCTGTTGCGCGTCCCGTAGAATCTCCTCCCGCACCTGTTGACGGTGGCGTGGCGGCGGCGGCGGCTCGTAGGCCGCCTCCGGGGGCGGTGGGCTGGTGTCCGTCTTGATCAGGCGCAGAGGGACGTCGTCCGGGCTGTCGCCGGCGTCCGACTCGAAGTCCGAATCACCCGCCTCTGACTGCTCCACACCGGGGTGGGAGAGAAAGTGTCAATAAATATTTCACAACACGGATTCCCAACAAATATCACTTTGCACCGTTTAAAAATAAATTTTACTTACCATCGTTAGATTGAGTCGATTGGTGCGTTGGTTATTAAAATATTTTACTCAACAAGCACAAGAAAGAAATTGGGTAATATTATTAAACATGAAAAAGACGAAGCAGGTTTGTCCACGTTACGCCGCGTAATGCAATTGACTGGGTGAACTGCAATTCGATAATAAAAAGACGAAAGAGAGAGAGCAAGTGAAAGAGACACACATAAGAGCTGATTTTTCTTCTCTTATGACATTTATTACGCTCATACGCCGATCGGCAGATATATGCTATGCTAACAGCAATGCAACGACGCGCGGCTACCTACGTGTGCGTTGTGTCCGGGGCGGGATCATTTTTTTATTTCAACGCATCATTTCAGCGCACGCGTTGATCTGATCGGCTGGTGTGGATCGATTGAGGCGGCGGTATGCCGCGGCATCAAGCCAATCCGATGGATTAAACGCACGATTAACCCCGCCTCCCTGATATATATACATCGATGCGCGCTACCGTACAGATAGAGATATGCGTATCATACGGACCGGTTAATTTCCCTTCGCGCTTACGTATCAACCTGATTTGATCCGCCGAGTACGATCTTGTGTGTCGAATACGCTTAGGCTAATAATATAGCCCGGCAACATATGTTGCCGTACTTTGCATCTGTCACCGTCAGCACACCATTGGACATGCTTAGTAAGGAATAATTATGACATGCACTTTACTTGTTAGCACACACACACACACACAAAGATGCACATGCAAATCTTCACGTGCATTGGCAGGTGGCTCAACGCAGTCGCGGTGATTAACCACCGAACGGCTTTCGCTTTTTGAATGCCGGCGTAATTAATCGGCAAATTAATGTCTGTTGATTCCGCTTGCAACGTACGCATTCTTCGGATGCAGTAAATTAATACATAAGTAAATTTAATATATGCGTTTAATTAATTTATCCGAAATGCTAGAAAACTTGCGCAGATTTGATTTTATAGATTTCTAAAAAAATTCAATTTTTTATTGGTTTGGAAAGTAGTTCGTAACGTCATTTCTGTGGAATTTTGTACCTCAATTCTAAAAACACTGCCTGACATATGCGTACTTTATGATAAAAAAACTGTGCCACAAGCTGTCGGGTTCAGTTCAGGTGCACTCACATGGATGTACAGTCTGATCCGGCCCACTTGCCGCATGCAGCCTGTGCGCAATCGCCGATTCGGCAACATCTGTCTAACCGGGATTAATTTGCAAACACGGGTGAACCATTCTTGGTCCACTATTATCCACGCCCCACAGAGCACCTGAATAATGTATGTACCTAATATTCACGATCAGATCCACAGTACCGCATGTATAACGTATAGTGGGAATTCAACGGCTGAGACAATCACTCCCTGTACTTGCTGCTGGAGTTTTACGTTGTGGCTAGACATGGTTGCTTATGTACCGCGCCTGATTTAACCATATTTAGCGCCGTAACGTCACACTCCAGCCGGGTGACGGCAGCAAGTACAGGGAATGCTTGCCTGCGCCTCTGAAAGCCGAACTGACTGGCTATGTTGTTGACGGTTCACAATCAAACTGCGTATATTTGTATACTGTCTCAATGTTCTAAGCAAGGTATACGTATGCCGGTAAGCGAATGGTTCAAGACTATTGTACACTATATGTGGATGGTTGTGGATATGTAACTTTTATATTCCACAACCATCTACATACTGTAATATGTTACAGTGTAGTATCAAGTCAAAGACAACTTCCCCAAAACAAAATTACAGTGTATCAGCAGAACTGCAAGTAAAATATATGTGGATGTAGATCATGCAGTGTCAGTTTGGCGCTCAAAAGACAAAAAGAAACAAGCCCATCGGCTTTCTCAGCTATAATATTAAGTCGTGCTGGCGTAGGTACATCGCCTGTGCTCCTGTTATATAGCGAGGTTTCCATAATCTGGACCTAATATTAACCTCGCCAGATGCTCTAGGCACCTGACTGAACCCACTCTTTCCTCAGTAGAGAAGACTCATTTACATAGTCAGGCATTTCCCAATGGAATACGCATCAGCACACGGGTGCAGCGCTGAAGTTCCTTCTTCAGTTTGATGAGAAAATATTGCAGTGCCACATTCCCCCTAATGCATAGCGAGCAAAGGACAGACTTTTTGTACAACCGCCAATCGCCGTATGTGCTACCTGGGCATCCGAAAATGTCTCTCCTGCTGCAACGATTTTCTTCAGTAAGCCGCGAGTAACGTGTAACTGCTTTTTACTACAAAGCGATTGTACTTGTTCTTGTGAAAATGACTGAGAACAATCACGGGGTGATTTATTTGATTCTCAGCTTGTTTCTGGACCTGAACACAAAATGCCCGACTATTTCCGATCCGAAAGACAAGTTCAAATCATCGGTATCCCGAATCCGCCGCACTGGAGTATTGTTAGTCAAATGTCTTTACTGGATTACGGTGCTTGTGTTCACCGCTATCAGCAACTACATACTTTTCGCCAGTATGTTAACCAGTTCAGGTAGCATTCTCATCTTCATCCATTATTCGAAATACTTCATCCGGAATAACGTATCGCTTGTCATTCTGCTCCTGTTTCAATGCAAGCAAAAAGCGTTCCATGAAATATGTGGCAGAAAAACAGTCACGGTTATAAATGATGGTCAAGAACATCGCACCAACGGTACAAAAATGGAAGTCATCGTTATGCTCTGTTTTTTAATAACGCGCATCTGCGAGCACATTCTCATCCCGTTGGAATACGCCGACGGCATCGCCATGACTATAACTACGCCTTTAAATTATATGGCCAGCGCCGGAATTGATGGGGCTCTGCCTTTGTGGGCGTGGCACGCCATAGCGACCTTGCTAGCACAAATCCCGATAACACTCTCCCAGTGTATCATCATTATGTTCATCCTGGATGTCATCCGTTCAACGGCGGATCTGCGGTTGCTGCAGCAGTTCATGAAGACTGAAGAGAATACTTACTTTCTACAAGTGAAAGTCACCTTGCTGAAGATCCGTGACCTGGTAGGCGCCGGCGAACGATTCTTCTCGGTTATTTTTCTGCTGCACGTTGCCGCAAGTTCATTGAGCACCATCGGACACATTCAGAGCTTCAAACGTAATGTCGGTACTGGATCGGTGCATAACCTGGTTTCCCTGTTTCTGATGCTGTGGTTGGCTGTGGGAGTGTTCGTGCCGTCTGTATATTTCGTCAAATTCCATGATCAGGTTCGTACCTAGTCCAGACTAACTGATTATTACACGCTCTACAAAATGTGCATGTACAACGGTGTTTATATCAATTTAGGTAGACGGTTTTCTCGATGACCTTTGGCTGATGGTCGATAAGCGCGCGTCAACATCTGACGGAATTCGAAAGGCGGATCTCGATCACACAATGCATTTTATCCACAGGATGCGCTCCATGATTCCGCGCTATACCGCGGGTGGATTCTTCGCGATCGATCGGAATTTCTTAGCTGCGGTACATTTAAGCGATGAGCATTTACAAAATGTAATGTGCGCTTTAATGCAGAAGCTGAATTCCAGCTGTTGCGTGTGTTTTTAGTTGGTGGGCTTTTTGTCACGTACGTCTTGGTAGTCAAAGAGCTCCTGAAAGATTCCGAAGCATGCGTCTGCCGCAATGCCACTTCCACCTGTTAGTGTCTCAAATGGTGATAAGCGCTTCTGTTGTTGATTATTGTTTCTCGTCTGCAAGTTAACAAAGTACTCGAAAATTTTCGGGACACAGAAAAATTCTTTCCCCATTCCGCAGTTCGTATACGAAGCTGGCCACCTGATGCGAAATGGCTTAGGCGCGGTAACACAATAATAACAATCCAGCGAAAGACGATCACATATCAACAGCAGAAGTATCTAATAAGCTGACACATGACTAATAGAATATGTATTATCATAAACTCTTTTTGCTTTTTGATTGGTCGTCTGAGTTTTGGACGGGGTGCCGTATATGGTACCGTTCGGCATAGAAGTTGCAGGGGTCACCGTAATACTGATAATATGGGATAACACAGTATGATTTCTGGTGGGGTTCCGGTACCCTTTGAACGATCCAGTCGCGATCATTCGCCTGCACCGGCACTTCCTCGTTCCACCCATTGGAGTAACACATCAACAAATGCAGAGTAAAGTACTAAAGCCAGGATGGGAAACGGAGAACCCGCTCGAGGGTCCATCCCAGCACATCGACACTCTGTTCGCTCCAAATGCTAGCCGTGCTTGCTGGAAATCCCACATATCTGCAAGAAAATGCTCAGTGTTTACCTTCTCGTGTTAGTGGGCTACAGTCCTGTGCTGGGTGCAAATTGCGGAGGCCGGCCAATACTCGAATAGGCAGTATTCTTATTATGTCAAAGATATAGTGCAATAAATCAGCAGAAACGATAGTCATTTTCACTCTTACTTAACCCAATAGTCCATGTACTGGTCACCAACTGTATCCTTCGATCTCAGTTTCGTTTCCACGATCCTCAGATCACGAGGCGACAAGCCGGTTGGCACTAGCAAATCGAAAAACATGAAATGTGTTAGGCCGTAAAAAATTGCCGCGATGTGTGGTAGTTCTTTAAGATAGGCGGGTTCCCTCAACACAGGCTTTCCATCAGTATCGAAAAGCCACATGTTGTCTTGTGTGATGACATGTTCGACCACACTGACACGAAGCGGGAAATCCAAGTCTTTATACTGCTTGTCATAGTCAAGCCCGAAAAAAAAGTCAAGTTGTACATTCTGCAGTCGGACTTCCCGTATGGAGTTCAGATTGTAGGCAAAGAGTGACGATACAGCAATTCGTAAGTTTTGAAGCGTCAAACTTGGTCCTCGATGCATTGCATTTCCGGACGAATTCGTCATTTCTCGGTTGTTGAATATTTTATACAAATGGTTGTTTAAGTGTAGAAAAATCCGATGAAGGTCTTTTAAGCTACTGTTACAGTAGCAGAGATTGCTGGCAGGGTCACGGAAGGCTTGCAGTGGCATTGCTGCGAGATTTTCCGGTGGGAAGTACAAAGGCTTTCGCATGATCAGACGGCGCGTGGCTCCGGTTACCATGCGCTTCAACTGGCGGGATGGCCCAGGCTGCCAGACACACTTTGCCCACTTGTCAAGATCGAAGATGACGCTTCTTTGCATTAAGACCGACTGGCCAACGCACCGCCATCGGGCGCAGACACTACGAATAACTTTATGAGAAATCGTCACATGAATGAAGCCCTCCGTTTGCAATTCTACAGCTTGGCAGTAATTACCAGAACGCCGACATTTTCTCACCATGAACATCGGGCAACGTCGTTAATCTCTAGATATGAAAAAATCCGAGCCAAAATTTCAGCGGGCATCATGTGGAATGGGCATGCCGGCACGGGTTGTATAACGCCAGAACCATCGGCGTCCGCTTGATCGTACTCGGGATGAAACTTTATTAGCACTTTATCATACTTTCGTTTGGACATTTTAGTATGCCAGACTAGTTAATCTCTATGCTGCAATTTTCTTGCAGAAATAAAATTTTATCAAGGGTTATTCAGATAGTTCTCAGTAAATATGGTTAAACTGTTAAAGTGCAGCTGCGCAGCATGCATCCCGGAAATTCGAATTCACAGACTTTGTACTAGTGATTCTGGCTACATAGCTGTAAAAGCTGCAAGACGGTGAGAAGTGTACCGATTTCCGTAGAAGTCACATAACTCCAGAAAGCAGCAGAAACGCTCCGAATCACAAATACTCAAACAATAGTAATCATATTCCACTGAAACAGGCAACAGTTTTCGCGATGACTGGACAGCAACTCCAGTTGCGTTAAGCACAGTTCCGATTCTGCTGCTGCCGTTGTTATTGCCTAAATTGTTGTTCACCCGATGAACATAGCGATCACAGCAGATTTGCCGTGAACATTGCGTGATCATAGCGTTTTAGCCGGTTGTCATGTCTTTAAATAAAAGCACCCGCGGAAATCGACTGATTGAATTACTGTAATGATGCTGTAAACACAGTCCACAGTATCGATGCTGCAGCTGCACGGTACCCTTGTTAGTGTGATTTTCTAATAAACAGTCATCAGCCGTAATGCGAAACATGTGTACAGCGGACCGGTTTTTTCTCAGAGCACTACCAATAAAAATTTCTAACCCGTGAAAAATTTATAGTTTCATGCTAATAATCGTAGCTAAAGGTATCCAGAATACTGAATCGGTGTTTAATCGGAAAGGCAGTGAATTATTGATGTACTGATACAACACCGCATACTAGTGCATAGCAATTTAGAACCATTTGTTCACAGTAATCAATATTTTACTGTGTGTCTCCGGACGTCGGATTCAGTTTGTATGCACTAACAAGTGTACACGTTGAACAGACTTGTCGCATGCAGCGTGTGCGCAATCGCTAACATCGGTCTCACCAGGAATAATTTGTAAACACTGGTGTACCGTAGGGATTTGTCTTGACCCAGCCGTGATCAGTATTGACAGTTACAATGTATCTCGTACCTCAATGATCCATGTATCTACATATACAATGTTATTTATTCAGATTGGCGAAACGATACAGTCACAAGTTTCCTATAAAAGCGAAAGATTTGTACTGAATGCACAGCCTCAGCCGACTACGGAAATAGCCGGCCTAATCACACTGAACATTTCGTCTAAGTTAGCCGATACTGGTGCTGTTCCCATGACGGAGGCCGCGTTCCCGCGTTGGATTTCTATGCTGATGCGTTGGCGCAGATACTCCGTCGCCCGTACCTCGCCTGTTTCCTGTTGTATCATCTTCCCGTTTCCTGTTTCCTGTTGTATATGTAGATACATATACATGTATCTACAAATTCATGCATTATCAATTAGTTCTGCTGCTTAAACGGAATTGCTCTGCTGCTGCCGACTCAAATCGGATGCAGCATGTTGTAGGAATCGCATTCAGAATGTAAGCAACCTTTAAGCAAAACACCCGCCAAAACAAGATTGTCAACAACTGCGACTAAAGCGACTAAATAATTAACCTAACAGTAATTATTAAAAGTGCTCGACTACAGGTCAGTTCAACTATCTGTACTCACATACCGGTGCTAGCTTACCGGTGCTGTTTGAATTACTACTCTTGAGTCAATCAACCCAAAACGAATCAACCCAAAGTCTGGCGTTGGAAAAACAGAGATACCGTCCACGTGCCACAAAAAAACCACGCCCACCGCCCCGACGGAAGGTGGGGTCGCAGTTTTCCGGGTCCGGGCACATGACAAATTTTTCCCGCGTTTTGCTCCATGGTCACTTCTCTAGACAAGCTTATCACCTGACTGGGCCTTTACATCTCTCTTTGGGAATATGTACTCGTACAACCCATTTCCCACTGGAGTACACTTCAGCACAGAGTTTAGCACTAACGTTTCAGCTTCGATGAGAGAATACTACAGCCACACATTAACGACCCACTGAACAGGAGATCAGAAGATCAGACTTGATGGTGTAATAATTAGAGAACTAATCGGCACTTAACGCCTGTCGCATTAAGAGTTCTGTACACTCCTACGTTTCATACTGTTGCAGCGTTTTCCTCCAATAAACCGCAAGGAAGCTGCAATCGAGCGTAAGACAAACGGTCGAATTTCTTGGCGAAAACATGTCAGAGAGCAATCACGGGCTGATTTACTTTATTCTCGGCCTTTTTCTGGATCTCAGCGCGAAATGCCCGACTAGTTCCTATCCGAAGGAGAAGCTCAAATCGCCGGCATCCCGAATCCGCCGTATTGGAGTCCTGCTAGCCAAATGTCTTTACTGGATCACGGTACTTGTCTACACCGTCATCAACGACTACATACTGATCGCCAGTATGCTAACCACTCCGGGTAGCATTCTCGTTTTCATCGAGTTTTCGAAATATGTCATCAGGAATAACGTATCGCTAATCATTCTGACCCTGTTTCAATGCAAGCAAAATGCCTTCCATGACATTTGTGGCAGGAAAACGATCGGCTTCATGAACGACAATCACGAGCATCGCAGGAACGGAGTCAAAATAGAATTCATCGTTTTGTTTTGCTTCCTAATAACACGCATCGTGGAACAAATTCTTGTCCCGTTGGAATACGTCGACGGCATTATTGTCACTATAAACACTCCTTTTAATTATTTGTCCGGTGCCGGAATTGACGTGGCTTTTCCTCTGTCGGTGTGGCACGGTATAACACTTTTCTTGAACGAAATCCCGAAAACGCTTTCGGATTGTGTTGTCATTATGTTCGTTCTCCATGTTCTCCGCTCAACGACGGATCTGCGGTTGATTCAGCAACTCGCCTCCAAGGGTGAAGACAGTTCCGAAAGTGTAATCAGAATCAGGCTGCTGAAAATCCGCGATGCTGTATGCGCCGGCGATGGCTATTTTTCGACTGTTTTCTTGCTGCATGTGGCCGCTAATTCGTTAAGTATTCTCGGACACATTCAGAGCATCAAGAAAAATTCTGATATTGGGCCAGTGCACACGCTAACCTCCCTATACTTGATGCTGTGTCTGGCCGTAGGGATATTTGTGCCTTCGGCATATTTCGTTCGTTTCCATGACCAGGTTTGAACGTTCAAGACCAATTTGAACCGCGCTTTGTTAAACGAGTATATGTATATGTCTTAGGTAGACCAACTCCTCGATACCCTGTGGTTGACTTTCGAAAAACGTACGTTGTCGACAAACCCGGCCCAAAGGGCCGAGCTGGAGTACACCAAACAGTCGATCCAGACGATGCGCACCATGATTCCGCGCTACACCGCCGGTCGATTTTTCCCAGTCGATAGGAATTTTTTAGCTGCGGTAAATATGGGTTTGCTTATGGCGACGTACGTACTCGTGTTATGAGTGTTTTTCCGTTGCACACCGGTCAGTTTTCTGGAAGGGTTTATCATACCGATCATATAATTATAATATATAATATAAATATAATAATACATATATAATGTATATGTATATGTATATATGTATATGTATATATGTATATATGTATATATGTATATATGTATATATGTATATGTATATGTATATATAATGTATATGTAATTATGATAGTTTACTAGTAATAATAATTTTATTGGTCAAATCAAAATGCAATACACAAATTATTAGAAAAGACACCCAAACTACAACATAAAAATTTCGTTTAGTTTGTCCAGCCCTTCCATCGAGCCTAGCACTGACGCCGCATTTCCCCGTTGAATTTCTATAGACAAGCGCTGTCGTAGAAATTCATGCGAACGTAGTTCTCCGGTGTGTTGTTGCAGTCTTCTGCCCAGTTCTTTAACGAATGCGATCGCTGACGGACCCCACGTGCCCATCGTTTCGAAAGCGATCGCAATGAAAAGGTAGCGGCCGACCAAATAGGAGTACAATCTGGATTTCTTTTCCTCTGCTTGCACAGCGGCCGCTCCCGCGGTAGCGGAAGAGGCTTTAACATGCGACGGTGCAACCGTATCTACACAAGTTACGTCCCACGCGAGACACAGTCCGCGTTTCCAAGCAAAGGTCGTGCAGCCGTCCGGGCGACGTTCAGTAGTATGTGAAGTACCGCGCGGTTCCAGTTTCGCCGGTACACCCGCGGACACCAGACTCCTACATATGATACTGTTCAGCCCTCCATGTCGCGGATGCCTTCCGGCGGAAAAGGCGCAAGACAGTCCGTGGTGCCCATAGCCATCCACGGGTTTGTGGCATTTGTGGTTTACTAGTACAGCATACGAAAGTGATCGGTTTGTGAACGAAATCGAAATAATTAAATTCTATCTTTCCCTTCTGTTTCCAGATGATAGGCTTCTTTGCTACATACGTACTGGTCGTCAAAGAGCTACTGAAAGATTCCGAGGAATGCGTCTGCCGAAACGCTACCCACACTTGTTAAACGTTCCGAGCACATACATTTCGCTTCTGTTGTGCGGTGACTGGTACACCCCGTTTTTTATTTCACTTATTGATGAAATGCTTGAAATCTTCAGTACGAGAAAGATCATTGCTTAGCAGTTTGCATACATTATAAAGCTTTACTAGTGCTGTGCATGGTCTCCTGGTTGGCACTAAAATAATTGTAAACGTGGCATAAAAGGCGGTTTCGCCCCGTTGCCGGATGAAAGGAAGAGCCATGCAACCCTAAAGGTTCCTTATACTTTCTTATTGACTGATTTCTTTACGTTTTCTTTGATTAGTTTATTCCGTCCGATTTAACGGCGAGGAAACACAAGGAAAGTAAACATAATGTTCATAACGTCTATAAGATAACGTCCATATCCATAATGTGCTATAACAAAGCCATAACAAGGTATGGTCGTCTGTTTTCCGGCTCCGGATACGTACATACCGATAACAAAGTTTCTAGCGTTTCGTTCCCTGGTAATTTCTCCGGACATGCTTATCTCCTGGCCGGGCCTTTATTTCCCTTTGGAAATGAAAATATTTTACAACCCATTTCCCACGGGTATACGCATCAGCACAATCATGGGCTCAGAGCTAACGTTCCAGCTTCAGCCCGGTGAGAGAATATTACTGCAGCACATTCTTTATCCAGAGAACAGAAGGTTAGACTTGATGGTGTCGTAACCAGAGAGCCGCAAATCGCAACTGGATGCCGGTTGCATTACCAGTTCTGTGCACCCGAAAATTACTATCCTGTTGCAACCTATTCCTTGCTATGAACCAGCAATACTTGCTGTAACGCGCATGTGTAAGTACATTCTCGGTTCCGTTGTCCGTAACAAGAAAGCGGTTACGCTTGTTGGCATAAAAATGCCAGAGAACGTTCACGGACCGATTTTCCTTATTCTTAAATTGTTTCTGGATTTA